GTATGCCGGCGCCGCTAGGCGGAGGATTAGCCTGTTGAGCCACAGCGCCGGCCTCTCCCCAACTCTTCGATCCTTGCTGGTAAGATGGGTGTTTGCTCATTGTTGCTTAAACTTGACAATAACCTGGACAGCAAAAATCCCCACCTACTGTCACACGCACACTTCCAGGGTTTCCACAGAGAAGCTTTTCCAAGAGTGTGGCTAGTGTGGCCAGAGTCTGTCCACAACGGGTGCCCCAGGATGCTAGCCCAGGTACTTGTTTGCTGGGTTTAATTCTTTCTAAAAAAAATTTTAAAAATGTATTTGAAAGGCGGAGCAACAGAGAGAGAGAAAGAGATTATCTATCCACTGGTTCACTCCCCAAATGGCAACAACAGCCAGAATTGCACCAGGCCAAAGCTGGGAGCCCAAAACTGAATCCAAGTCTCCCACATGGGTGGCAGGGACCCAGTACTTGAGCCATCACTGCCGCCTCCAGAGTGTGCATTAGCAGGAAGCTGGGACTCCATCCTAGGCATTCTCATCTGGGATGCAGGTGTCCCAAGCAGTGGCTGAACCCCCCCCACCTGCCCCATCAGGTGCACATGGTTCCACTGTGGCCCCCAGGGCCTGCGGAGGCTGCCAATGGCATGGTTCTCACTGCCACGGCTCCAAGGAAGGCTAAAATTCTGCCTAAGGAAACAAACGGCAGAGGTTTTCCTCTTGTAGAAATACGACAGACACACGACAAGCGACAATTCCAGTGTGGGAAAGAAGCATCAAGGCACACAGCGTGAGCTATGTGGCTGGAGAAACTCGGCTGCTGGTGTGAGAACCAGGGAGAGACAGGCCGTCATGAGGGTGGACTGGGGGCCTGTCTTACAGAGAAAGGCCGGAGGAGCAAGCCAAATACTTCAAGGACAAGGATGGGGGCCCATGTAGTTGCTTACAATGATAAAGCAGTGAAAAAGTTGATAGCCAGGCTGAGCGTTGGGCACAGTGGGTAAGATGACACTTGAGATGCCCATATCCCACACTGAGGTGCCTGGGTTCATGTCCCAGCTCTGCTTTCAAATCCAGCTTCCGGCTCATGCACACTCCAGAGACAGCAGGGAGTACCTGGGTCCCTGCCACCCATGTGGGAGACTTGGATTGAGTTTTGGGCTACTGTCTTTGGTTTGTCCCAGTCTTGGCTGTTGCAAGCATTTGGGAAGAGAATCAATGGACAGGTCTATCTGTGTCTTCTGTCTGTCTCTCCCTCTCTCTTGCAAATAAACAAATATTTAACAAAGAAAAAAACTGACAACCCTCATGTTTCACAGCGGTGTCATTATAACACCAAGGACTTAGGGGAAACAATGTGTGTGCAGTGTCAAGTATTGAAAAGAACTTTCTTGTTTATGCAAAACTGGAATGTCACCTAATTTCACACCACTGAATCATTCTCAAAGTCAGCAGGAGGTTCAGAGTACAGGGTCAAGGTGACTCGTTTCCATAATAAAAAAGTACTAATTACTTTGAAAAATATCTTTGTTTTGCAAAAATACAGATACAACTATCCAGTGTATCTTTGACAACGGTGAAGACAATTGCCAACGAAGGTATTTTCTCCTTTCGCCACAGCTCTTCAGTACAGAGCAAGGCTTGGTTTCTTCTTCAACTTAGCTCCAGAATAAAAAAAAAAAAAAAAAGCAGCAACCAAGCGCAAAAACATTGCCCCTAATCTGCTTGAATAGGGTGCCACCTTGTGGCCACCGTGGAAATACACACAGGATCAGGATCACTTGGCAGAACTCTATGTATCCCCAATGGTCTTAAAACAAGCAGGCATTACATAAATTAGATGCACCTGCCACACACCCTGCAGCATCTCCGGGGAGACACCTGCCCCACCTGGCAGGACTCCAACTTGCTCATTTCCAGGCTTTGGCTGCAACCTGAGAGTCATATTGGAGTATTTTTAGATCTTGCTTTGCAGTAATTAACTGTGCTACAATGTGCTCATTTTATTTAACTTTACTTGGAAATCTGTGAACTGTATGATTTTCTGACATGGAAAACGTTATCAACTATTTCAGACACGAACATGTCTGCAAACTCACTGTCTGGTCTAAGCAAACAAGCATAAAGGTCCCTGGGTCTCCCACCTCTCCTTCTCCATCCACGTCTTTTGCTCCAGTCGAGGTTTTTCCTGGTGTGGTGCATGGCTCGAATGCATTTCCTTATACTTGTACGTCATATGCATGCGGCCTGAGAAGACATGCACACAGGCATGGGCTCCCTATCCCTGGATTCCACCAGAGGACTGAAAACATCTGGGTATAAAACTGAGTTTGTACTGAACATTCTTCTTGTCATTAGCTCCAAAACAATACAGTTGGGGCCAGCATTGTGGCGTAACAGGCAAAGCAATCATCTGCAATGCCGGCATCTCATATCGGCACTGGTTCCAGTCCCGGCTGCTCCACTTCCAATCCAGCGCTCTGTTAATTCACCTGAGAAAGCAGCAGAAGATGGCCCAAGTGATGGGGCCTCTGCACCCACACGGGAGACCTAGAAGAAGCTCCTGGCTCCTGGCTTTGGCCTGGCCATTGTGGCTATTTGGGGATTGAACCAGCGGATGGAAGCTCTCTCTCTGCCTTTCCTCTCTCCATAACTTTGCCTTTCAAATACATAAATAATAAATCTCTTTAAGAATACAGTGTGATGATGATTTATATAGCATTTAATTTGTTTTAGGTATTAAATGTGATATAGAAATGATTTAAAGTATACAGGATAATGTCTAGATTATATGCAGATACTATGACATTTTATATAAGGAACTTAAACAATTGCAGATTGAGAGATCTTCCATTTACTGGTTCACTCCCCAAATGCCTGCAAAGGTTGGGTGCTGGCTAGGCCAAAGCCAGGAGCCTGGAACTCAATCCTTGTCTCCCATGTGGGGGGCAAGTACTTAAGTCACTACCTGCTGCCTCCTGGGGTGTGCATCAGCAGGAAGCTGGATTGGAAGGGGAGCCAGGATGGGAATCCAGGCACTCAAGTAATGGGATGTGGTATCTTCATCACCACACCAAAGACCCATCCCTCCATATGCATTTTAGAATTGGTTTGACAAATTCTACCAAAAAAAAATCATGCCAAGATTTTGATTCAAATGTATACATTAATTTAGACAGAATAAATATCTTTAAGACACGGACATATCTGCTCCATGGACATGGTATCTCAGCTTTAATTTAGGTCTTCTCAATGACTTTCATCAAAATTACATTACTACTTTCAAAAGGTTGTGTATTTCTCCATTTATTCCTGGTACCTTCTGATTTTCTGTAACAGAAATTGTTACCTTAACTTTTAAAATGTTTAACCCGATAACTCCGGGTTGCTAGTGTTTAGAAATGCATGTTGATCTTGCATTCAAGAACTCAGCAATCTCTTACTTAATTCTCATATACTTTTTATAGGTTCTCTCTAGCCTATGCAATCCTATCACCTAGCATGAATGACAGCTTGGTGCCTTCTAAGTATGGCAATTCTCTTCTTCTGTTCCTGGGCTGTCTGGGACTTCCAGTACAATGCTGAGTAGGATTACTGGTCACAGGCTCCCTTATCTTTCCTGATTTTCAATCTTTAATGAGATATTTGGTGTAAATTCTGTAGATGTTTCGTTAATTAGGGGATTCCTTTAACGTCCCGGTTTACAGGGTTTTCTGTGTGTATGTATATATATATGTGTGTGTGCGTATATATATATGTGTGTGTGTGTGTGTGTATGTATATATATGTATGTGTGTGTGTATGTGTGTGTGTGTGTGTGTATATATATATATATATATATATAAATATAATAGCAGGGTCAAGCATTTGGTGCGTGGTTAAGACTCTGGGAGGCCTGTATCATATATCATATATCACAGTGCCTGGGTCTGATGACTGCCCTGGGTTCCTGATCCCAGCTTCCTGCTTATGTGTACCCTGGGAGGCAGGTGGTACCTCCCGTAGCTGGGTTCCCACCACCCACACAGGAGTGCTGGACTAAGTTCCCAGGTCCCAGCATTGCCCTGGGTCAAGCCTGGCTACTATGGGCATGGGGGCAGTAACCAGTGCCCTCTCTCAGTGATCTGTCTCTTTCAAAAAAAAAAAAAAAAAAAAAGGAAGTAGTTAATGTTCTTTAAGAAAAACTCATAATGGGTACTAGATTTTATCAAATGATTTTTCTACAGCTATTTTGGTGAGACTATGAATTACACTAAGAGAGTTTGAATTTAAACCACTCTGGCAATCCTGAAACAAACCCAATCTGGTACCGTATTCAGATGCCACACTCATTCAGATTCCTATTTGTTCACGGTGCCCACTACACTCACGGTTTCACCTTTATCTTCCTGACCTTGTCTGGGCCTGGCACTCATAAAATGAGCTAGGACTTTCTCATTCTTTCTGCCTGCTGCACACGTGGTCAGACTGGAATGAGCTGGTCGTTGTATGACAGAACTTGACTGGCTCCTGGTTTGAAGGAACTCATCTGTAAAACCCCTGCTGCTTTTTTGTTTTCGCTTTGCTCCTGTCTTTGATGGACCCAGGTCTGTCCTGTTTTCCTTGGGTCCGTGCTGTCAGTCACATGTTCCTAGCAAAGCGCTCACTTCCTACAAATTCTCAAGTGACAAGGATAACGTTACCCACATTCTCCCTTTTAAAAAATGGTTCTTGTTTCTTTCACTGTGTCCCCTTGCTCATTCCAAACACTGCTGGTACTCTTTCTGTCTTGATTATTTTGGATAGAGGTGTTTCTATTTTTTTACCAGACTTTTCCAAGAACCAACTTTTGGTTGATTATGTCTCACATTTGTTTTCTACCCCATTATTTTTTTTCTTATAATTATTTTTATTATTTCCAAGCTTTGAGATTTTTGTGTTTCTCTCACCTCAAGTTAGATAGTTGGATTATACATTGCCAGCTCTTTTTCTTCTGTAACAGAAGCACTCAAGGCTATGTGGTTCCACACGACACTCACCTTGCTTTCCAGCTGCGGCGTCTTCCACTGGGAGCTCATGGTCATGGAGTCTTTCCTCTGGAACAGGCACTGCAGGGCGGCTTCCAGGGGTCCGTGGGCCCCCAGAACCAAGACCTTCTTCCCGTCTAAGTTGACACCTACCAACCAAACGATCAAAACTTCAGGTTCTTCCTCCCATACAAGTTTACCTCGAGGGAAAATGCCCCCTTTAAAACCTGGCCTTAGGAGTCAGCATTGTGGTGTAGCAGGTAAAGCTGCCACCTATGACGCTGGTATCCCATATGGGCAACAATTTGAGTCCAGGAGCTTCACTTCCAATCCAGCTCCCTGCTAATGGCCTGGGAAAAGCAGCAGATGGCCCAAGTGCTTGGGCCCCTGCACCCATGTAGGAGACACAAAGAAGCTCCTGGCTTCGGTCTGGCCTTGTCCCAGCAGCTGCGGCCACCTGGGGAGTAAACCAGTGGATACAAGATTGCTCTCTCTCTCTCTCTCCTCTCTCTCTGTAACTCTGACTTTCAAATAAAATAGATGAATCTAAAAACAAACAAAAAACCTGCCATGTCAGCAACATCTAGGTAACTCTAGGCTGGGAGTCAGGTGGTTGGATTAACTCCCCATACCATCCCATCTCTTTTGGTTTCAATTCTTGGCTAATTTTCTTTCCACAATGCACTGCTGTCCTTTCCCAGCCATAACTGACTCTTGCTTGGAGAGCTTTCTGATTCAGACTCATCACCTTGAAAATCCTTCTGACAGAAAGACACTGTATCTATGGACTGTGTCAGAGAGTCCGGCTTTATAGTTACTCTTTCCAGGGACTATTCTGAGACTGATGATCTGGGTGCCTCTTGCAATGCCAGCATCCCATATCAGGGTGCTGGGTCCAGTTCTGGCTGCTCTGTTTCTGATCCAGCCTCCTCTTTATGTGCCTGGAAAAGCAGTGGACGGTGTCCCAAGTACTTGGGTCCCTGCCACCCATGCAGAAGACCCAGATGCAGTTCCAAGTTTCTGGTTCAGCCTGGCCCAGCCCTGGCCATTGCAGCCATTTAGAGTGAGCCAGCAAATGGAAGAGCTCGCTCTCTCTCTCTCTTTCAAATAAATAAATATATAAACTTTAAAATAAATAAATGAAGGAAATTTTCTAAAACTTCATTATTCATTTGTTTCTCTGTATATCTATGTGATACCTTATGTGTTAAAGTGATTATATTAAGTGTATAATTGATCATATAGACAGGATTAAGTGTCAAAAGGATCATCACATAAATAAGACCAAGTGTCTGGTAATAACAACAGATAGAATTAGAAAGGAGAGAAAGTTCCAAATGGGAAGCAGTCCACACAGCAGACTCATAGGATGACAAACACCCTAAATAGCACTCTGACCTCACAATCAGCCTTTAAGGCATTCAGATCAGGCTGAAAAGTCCACGAGAGCATTTCAGACATGGGAAGTCAAGACACTGTGGTAAAAAATGATCTACATGAAAGATCTCTGTGAGTGAGATCCCGATGGAAAGAAGGGGCCAAAGAAGGCTGCACTTTCCTCTGAAGGGAGGAGAGAACTTCTACTTTGCTTACGGCCCTGTATAAATACCGACGGATTTTGTGAACTCAAGAGGCTTCCATAGCCTTGGCAGCTTATGACAAGACCCTCGGGTGATCACTGACATCATAAATAAGAGTGTCAATTGTTAAATCAACAACAGGAGTCACTGTGCACTTACTCCCCACATAGGACCTCTGTCCTTTAATGAGTTGTACTATGAGAATTAACAGTAAAACTTGTCTTCAAACAGTACTTTATACTTTGTGTGTCTGTGTGGGTGCAAACTGTTGAAATTTTTACTTAGTATCGAGTTGGTCTTCTGTATATAAAGTTAATTTAAAAAATGAATCTTAATTAAGAATGAGATGAGAGAGGGAGTAGGAGGTGGGACAGTTTGGGGGTGGGAGGGTAGGTAGGGTAGGAGGGGAAGAATCGCTATATTCCTGAAGCTATACCTAGGAAATTTGTATTCATTAAATAAAACCTTTCTTAAAAAAAAGAAAAAGAAAGTTGACATTAAATATCACTTCTGTTTCAATTAGAATCTTTCAGCAATAAATCTTTATTTAAAAAAAAAATCAAAGAACAGAAAACAGCAGTTTTTCTGAAGGAGCATCTTACCTGATTTTTCAAGAAGTTCAATTACAGCTCTCGCGACAGGTGAGACAAAACATTCATGGGCATCTCCGCGAACCAGCTTCCCCAGGTTTACGTCTGTTACTCTGAAGCCAAGAACAAGGCAGCAGGTTAAGCCACAGCTCAGCAGGAAGCACTCATAGGTAATTCCTAGGCTTTAACCCCAATAACAGTCAGGTCAGGGTAGGACAGAACATATTAAATATGGGCTAAAAAGCGGTGCGATGCTTTGAATGTCACCCAGAGGTTCGTGTGCTGGAAGCCTGGAGCCCAGGGAGGGTATGTTCAGGTGGTGGGACCACAAGATGTGGCCTGGATGTGGCTATGAAGGCACCACACTCATGAACAAATCAATGCTGCCTCCCAGGAGCTCTAGCTCTCCTGAGACCGGAATTAGAGCCACGGCGGGGAGGGACATCATAAAAAGAGACCAACCCACTAAACCGGGCCCCAGCTGTGTGCAGTTGCTTCTTTGCCATGTGGCCCAAAGGGCCCTCACCAGGACCCCAGTGCCATGCTGGGTGGACCCTCCAGCCATGAGAATCGTGAATCAAGTAAGCCTCTTCATACAATGCTCAGCTTCAGGCACTTTGATATAGCAAAACATACAGGTACCAAGTAAGCAGGAAAGAAGCATTAGTCTTAGAGCAGCCATGAGGACGCCTCACTCGGTCCCCACCTTGCGCGCTCTCGTTCTGCCCTCAGCAGGACACAGCCTGAGGCGTTCACCATGCCAGAGAGCACTTTCAGTGCTCTACAAGGCAATGGCACAATACTCAGCTAATCCTTCAGTCCACACCCAACACCCAGAACCCATCCTACAAATGTGGAGGGATCCAGGAAGACCTGGGATTCACAGAGCTGATCACCACCTGACCTCAGTACGTACGTTCTGGGGAAATCAAGAAAAAAAACCAGAGACCACAAACTTTGATGGTTTCCGCGCCTTATTGTGTTCAAATTTAGGACAAAATATTCTGTAACTATTTACACCGAACTAAGGGTCTCAATCTCAGGTAGTAACTGTGAAATTATGATTACAGATGTTGTGTGTGTCTGGGCTTCCATCCATGGATCCTGGGTCTGACTCCCTTCCAAAGGCAGCCACAGAAGCGCAGACAGTGGGTCCTGAGTCCTCCCCACTACACAGAGGTCCTGTTCTGTGCCCTCAGAGGATGTCGAGATGGGCATCACCAGGATTCCTCTCCTAGCAAATCAGGGATCATAGCTACACAACGAGCCTCCATAAAAACCAAAACGGGGGACTGGTGCTGGGGCACAGCGAGTCAAGCCGCCGCCTGTAGTGCCGGCATCCCATGTGGGTGCCAGTTCTAGTCCCGGCTGCTCCACTTCAGATCCAGCTCTCTGCTATGGCCTGGGAAAGCAAAAGAAGATGGCCCAAGTCCTTGGGCTCCTGCACCCATGTGGGAGACCCAAAGGAAGGTCCTGGTTCCTGGCTTCGGATCAGCTCAGCTTTGGCAGTTGCAGCCATTTGGGGAGTGAACAAGCCGGTGGAAGACCTCTCTCTCTCTCTGCCTCTCTGTAACTCTGCATTTCAAATAAATTTTGAGGCCAGCACCACGGCTCACTAGGCTAATCCTCTGCCTGTGGTGCCAGTACTCCGGGTTCTAGTCCCGGTTGGGGCGTCAGACTCTGTCCCAGTTGCTCCTCTTCCAGTCCAGCTCTCTGCTGTGGCCCGGGAAGGCAGTGGAGGATGGCCCAAGTGCTTGGGCCCTGCACCCGCATGGGAGACCAGGAGGAAGCACCTGGCTCCTGGCTTCGGATTGTCACAGTACGCTGGCCATGGCAGCCATTTGGGGGGTGAACCAACAGAAAGAAGACCTTTCTCTGTCTCTGTCTCTCTCTCTCTCACTGTCTAACTCTGCCTGTCAAAAATAAATAAATAAAATAAATTTTGAAAAAAATTTTTTTGAAAAATTTCAAAAAATTTTTAGAAAACAAACAAGGACCAGATCTGGGGAGCTGACAGACAGACATTCCTGGAGGGAGATGCCCAGACAGGACGCGAGCCCCTGTGCCCCTCCCCCATCACCTGCCCTATGCATCTCTGTACCCTCTCCTTTGTAACCTGGTAAAGTAAAGCACTAGGGCACTTCAAAAAAATCTACACATTTTCTTCATAACATGCGTTTTCCATGAACATTTTGAAGGCCCCTTATACACAGATTTCAAATTTTTTTTACCCAAATAAACTTATCTTTTGGGTTCTTTTCCTATGTACTGTCTGAAGTATTCTCATGTTTCCCTGAGCTCTGTTTGCCGCTCTAGGAAGTTCTTCGAACCCAAGGAGGGGGCTATGGGGACCCTCATTTATAGCTTGTTGAACCAAACACAAGTAAGAACCCCCTGGGGCTTGGGAAGCCACCTACAGTGGCAGAGCAGCAGTCTTGGGGGCTGAACCCTCAACCCACGGGATCTGACGCCACCTCCAGGCAGGGAGCGCCAGGACTGTTAAGTGTCGGATGCAGAACCCACTGCTGCTTGGTGTGGGGGAGCCCACACTCCCCTCCCCATCAGGTACCCCATGTGATCTGAGTTGTGAGTGTGTAGTGGGGGAAACTGAGTCCAGGTTGATTTTTCCTTCTCTGTCTTCAGAATTAACAAAATACAAACAACCAGAAAAGTTTTCCTAATCTGCACTTCTCACGAGATTTGAAACCATTCCCTGCTACCTGGAGGTTCTCACCTGGAAGTTCTCACACGGACAGGGGCTTCTCTCCCTCACAGCGAGCCTCCCAGAGCCTGGGTCCACCCCAGGTCACCACAAAGGACTAGGACAGAAGAGGCGTGGGCGTGGCAATGAGGGACCCCGAAGGACCTACCAGGTAGGGACTCTCACTTCATCAATTTGCATATAACCTGGTTTTATTTAAAGATTTGTTTCATGGACTTATTTGAAAGGGAGAGCAGAGACAGAAGGAGAGATCTTCCATCTGCTGGTCCACTCCCCAAATGTCCTTACAGCCAGGCCTGGGCCAAGGTGAAGCCAGGAGCGAGGAAGCCCATCTAAGTCTCCCACGTGCGTGCCAGAGGCCCAAGTAGTTGAATCAGCCTCTGCTGTCTTCCCAAGCGCATTTGCAGGAAGCTGGATTGGAAGTGGAGCAGCAGTCAGGACTTGGACTTGCACTCCCACACGGGATGCTGGTATCAAGCGGTGCACCACAACGTCAACCCTTCCAATAACCTTGTGACCTTAAATATGCTGTGTGCTTTAGGCCACAAGATAAAACAGTTCCTCTATTTCCATGTAAGCACAGGGGGCTTCCATCCCCAGCAAGCATGCCCTCCCTGCAGTGCACAGGGGCAGTATCAGTGTTCTCTGTCCTGTGAAGCTCACATCATATGATAACAGGAAGCAGAGCCCAACATCAGAGCTACAGACATCTATGATGCCCTCACCCAAATTTCAAATAAAAACTTATGCTGGCCGGCGCCACGGCTCACTAGGCTAATCCTCCGCCTTGCGGCGCCGGCACACCAGGTTCTAGTCCCGGTCGGGGCACCGGATTCTGTCCCAGTTGCCCCTCTTCCAGGACAGCTCTCTGCTGTGGCCAGGGAGTGCAGTGGAGGATGGCCCAAGTGCTTGGGCCCTGCACCCCATGGGAGACCAGGATAAGTACCTGGCTCCTGCCATCGGATCAGCGCGGTGCGCCGGCCGCAGCGCGCCGGCCGCGGCGGCCATTGGAGGGTAAACCAATGGCAAAGGAAGACCTTTCTCTCTGTCTCTCTCTCTCACTGTCCACTCTGCCTGTCAAAAAAAAAAGAAAACCTTATGCTATTAGGGGCCGGCATTATGGCATAGTGGGTAAATCTGCCACCGGCAATGGCAGCAGCCCATATGTTCGCCAGTTCTAGGCCAGGTACCTCCAGTTCCAATCCAGCTCCCCGTTCACGGCTGAGGAAGGCAGTGGAGGATGGCCCAAGTGCTTGAGCCTCTACTACCCATGTGAGAGATCCAGATGAAGTTCCTGCTTTGGCCTGGCCCAGCCAAACTCTTGTGACCATCTTGGGGAATAAATCAGTGGATGGTAGACAGATTCTCTCTCTCTCTGTAACTGACTTTCAAATAAATTAATAAGTCTTTTGAAAAATCCGCAAACTCCTGAAATATTTGCAATTTCTTTCATCTCCTAATGATAGACATAGTTAAAACAGACAGAAAGGATACAGAAAAGGGCAATCACAGCAGACAAAGTGATTCAACGATAAAGGTTAGGCTCTGCTCCGTTTCCTTACCCATCCACATCTTTTTCGGGCTTCAAGGCGTTGAGGACTTTGCTACTGAGTGAGTTCTCAGGGACCTGAAGAGAAAGCCCGTGGACTCTGGCATCTTCATTCATCTTCAAGATTTCATCTATGATCTAAAGAGGAAAACCCGCAAGACTCAGAACTGAAATGGAACAATGAGACCTAACAAAAGCAGCTTTGGGAAAACTGGACTCATAAAAATGTATCTGTGGGGGCTGACGCTGTGGCACAGTGGGTTGAAGGCCTGGCCTGAAGTGCCGGCATCCCTTATGGGCACCAGTTCTAGTCCCGGCTGCTCCTCTTCCAATCCAGCTCTCTGCTGTGGCCTGGGAAAGCAGTAGAAGATGGCCCAAGTGCTTGGGCCCCTGCACCCGCATGGGAGACGTGGAAGAAGCTCCTGGCTCCTGGCTTCAGATCAGCACAGCTCCAACTGTTGTGGCCAACTGGGGAGTAAACCAGCAGATGGTAGACCTCTCTCTCTGTCTCTACCTCTCTCTCTAACTCTGTCAAATAAATAAAATAAATCTTTAAAAAAAATGTATCTGTTATAGTTCCTTCCTACTCCTTATTGAAGACTTGGAATACAGCACAGTGAAAAACTCTCACTTCCACTTTCCATCGTGTTTCTAAAAGCTCAAAGGGTTGGCTGCGTTTTATCGTGACTTCTCTGTAGTTTTTCTCCTCTACTCTGTGCCAGAAAACAACCAAACCAAAGCTCAACAGCTATTAAAGTATAGACAGAGAAAGGACAATTCCCTGTCAACAATCATATCTCAAACCCAAGACACTGCCAGTTTTCAGTGAGGACAGGAAGCGGCAATCTGAAGCATTCCAGCCTGGCTCAGCTAAGCCCCACTGTGTGCTTCAAATATAGCATGTTCCACTAAAGTTTATTGATCACCAGATCCAAGACGTCACCCCGGGATGGACGTCTGATGCAGCAATTAAGATGCCGCTTGGGGGACTGCACTGGGGCGTATTGGGTGAGGCTGCTGCCTGCAGTGCCATCATCCCATATGGTCGCCAGTTCTAGTCCTGGCTGCTCCATTTCAGATCCAGTTGTCTGCTATGGCCTGGGAAAGTAGTAGAAGATGGCCCGGGTCTTTGGGTCCCTCCTGCACTCACATGGGAGACCAGAAGGAGGTTCCTAGTTCCTGGCTTTGGATCAGCCCAGCTCCAGCCGTTGTGACCACTGGCGGGGTTGAACCGGCGGAGGGAAGACCTCTCTTTCTCTCTCTGTCTCTCTGTAACTCTGCCTTCCAAATAAATAACTAAATCTTTAAAAAAAAAATGCTACTTGGGACACCGGCAACCCATATGGAGTGTCTGGTATTGAGTCCTGGGGCTGCTGATTCCAGCCTCCTGCTAACGGGCACCTTGGGAGGTAGCAAGGAATGGCTCAAGTAGCTGGGTCCCTGCCATCCACGTGAGAGACCCAGACTGAGTTCCTAGCTCCTGGCTTCAGCCTGGCCCCAGCCCTGGCTTTTGTGTGCATAAGTGAACCAGGATGGGAAACCGCTTCTGTCCGTCTGCCTCTCTAGCAGTGAGGAGGGCATCGCTTCCCCGTGGGGTTTATAGAGGCCCCCACACTTGCGTAGGGCAAGGCCTGACACACACCTTACAAACACCCAACACTGTCTCATTACTGATTAGCTGAACTGCTAGTCCGCATGATCAATCAGGACAAGGCTCTTGGCAATTAAAACTCAAACAGTCTCTCCGGCCCTCAGGTCTCTGCACTTTGCCCCACCTGGGCAGAGCCAGCACAAGCCTCCCCAGGTGACGCCAGCTCTGTTCTCAAGACACTGGCCTTCCTCTCAGCCCTGCTTACTCCTTGCAGGAGAAAAGCCCTCACTGCCTAACCCTGGAGGGGCCTGAAGTCTGTGGTCTGTGTGCCCTCCTCCATGCAACACCAAGTGACCCGTGACTCCGCTACTTCCCATGGTTTCCGTTATTCTCTGTCAATAATAAGTGGAAAATATTCGATGAAAAATACCAGAAATAAGTATCCCATACGTTTCCAATTGTGCGCTCCCCCGTAGCGTGATAAAATCTTGGGCCGTCCTGCTGCGTCCCACCTGGACGGGAAATATCCCTGCCTCCAGGGTCCACCCCCATCGGTCCTGCAGGAGCCACCTCAATTATCTCAGCAGAGTGCTTGTGTTCAAGTCACCCTTATTTACTTTCTAATGGCCACAAAGTACAAGAGTAGTGATGCTGGCGATTGGGATATGCCAAAGGGAAGCTGTGGAGTGCTGGACACGTCGGGCTCGGTGCTGTGTGTGATTCAGGCATCCCCTGGGGGTGTTGGAAGGAATTCCCTGTGGATAAGGGGTAACTGCGGTGGCACCCCCGCCCCCAACATAGCAGTCTCTCTCCCTTCCTGGAAATAAACCTTTCCAACAACTCCACGTTTATTTTTCATTTGACACGGGCCGAATGGGGATATGACAGGGAGGGCTGACTCCACACTCAGACCAGGAGGCCACAGGAGGCGGCAGGCAGCACGGCAGGACACAGGAACCTGAGCTTCTAAGGACTCTGCGACATTACTGGCCAGGGACTGCTGCCTCCCCAACCTCACCCATGTGTGAGACCAACACACAGCTATGTTATTTGAGACCCTCTGACTTGACGCTTTCTATGCCGCAGAGGTTAACCTAATCCTCACTGCCACGGCCAGTGGAAGAGCCAGCCACAGACAGTCAAGAGCAGGGACCTGTGGCCTGTGGTCAGTCTCCTCCCACACTTGCGATGATGCTATTGCATCATCCTGTGGCAGGAACAACCACGTCACAAGGGACAGCGGTGAGAGGACCTCTGGGTGTTTGGCCTAGCAGTGAACGCACTGCTCGGGAAGTGCCTGGCCCGACTCTCCTTCCAGCTTCCTTCCAATGCACACCTGGGAGGCAGCAGGTGTGGCTCAGGTACTGCAGTCTCTGCCGCCCCCATCTCATCTCCATGTGGGAGGCCTGGATTAGGTTCCCAGCTGCTGGCTTTGGCCTAGCCCACTCCTACCTGTTGTGGGCATTTGGGGAATGAACCCACAAGATGGAAGTTCTCTCTCTCAAATAAAACAATACAAAAACTAAATAAATAGCAAAAATCAAAATACAATTTTTAAAAATGCCACTGAGAGAGCCACGGCTGTTTAGCCCGGGAAGGACCCTGATGGTCATCTTGTCCTGTTCCTTTGTTTACCCATTAGGCAACTGTGACCCAGAGAGGCCAAAGGAATAGCCCAAGGCCAAACAACCTGTGCAGACAGAGCAGGAGCAGAGCCAGGGCTCTGACAATCCAGCCATGAGTCAAGGCCAGGCCTGTTCCATCCCCCCAGGAGATGCTAACAGGCCGTCCAGGTCCAGGGAGGAGGGCAAGCCACGTGCAGGGTGCTCTGCGGTCATTACCTCATCTTCACTGCTATCCGGAGGAAGGCAAATGTGAGTGATGTTCAGGCCAGCCTGAAAGGGGAACACAGGGTCATCCATCACCACAGCAGATTTTACAAAACAGAGCATGAAAAATCCTAACAAGTGTTTCAAAGGCAACGGTCCTCACCTCCTCAGCCAAATTCTGGTTTACCTCCTGCAGCAAGTTGTCGTCCCCTGCCTGGGAAACAAGAAGCAGAAGGTGAGTGTAATGGCATAAAAATATCTTTGAAAGACACAACACGTGACACAGGCACCAACACTGTGATTGCAAACCAGCTCAAATAGACGATAAGGAAGGGGCCGGCGTCGAGGCACAGCGGGTTACGTGGGTGCCGTCTAGTAGAGCACCAGTTTGAGTCCTGGCTGCTCTGCTTCTCATTCAGCTTCTTCCTAATGCGTCTCGGAAGCCATCGCCCAAGTACTTGGGCCCCTGCCAACCGCGCAGGAGACCCAAATGGAGCTCCCACCTGGGGAGCGACTCAGTGGATGGAAGATCTTTCTCTGTCACTCTGCCTTTCAAATAAATCTTTATTTTAAAAAATCTTTAATTTCTTAGGCACTAAAATTGTAACAGCGCTGGCTGGCTGTGGGGCACACAGCCACAGCCAGCAACCCCTCCAGGTGCGGATGCCAGAGGGAGGGGTTTCAGTGGCTGGCCCTTCCAGTAGGAAGCCTCTGTGTGGGCAGATTCCCAGCCTGGCTTTCTTTCTGCTGTCCTAACTGGCACATCGGATACATACCCCCAGCCACGTACAGCTCTACACTCTGGAGAAACACAGCACTGGTGCGACCGGAGGCTGCTACACTGAGAGGCACTATGCAAACCCAGCAGCCCTGTAGCCATCTACCCGGCAGGCTGTGGGCATCCCGGCCTGGCTCATCTCACTATGCCCCTGCCCCTGCCACCATGCAGGGATGCCAAGAAGGAACTATTTGGGGAGGGGGAGGGGGAGGGGGAGGAGGGAGGGGCTGCAGCCCAGAAATGTACTTGGCACATAGTTCTTCTGACATGGTAATGACTTATGACAAGCTTAAAGCAGGTTTCAAAAGACAGGAAATGTGCTTTCACCTAAGCATCTGTCTCAACTTGTTCCCCTCTCACCTTCAGATCACATCTGGAAAGCATTCACAAGCACACGCAGTCCATCCTGTGGAAGCAACGTATGTGGTGCCCACCTCCTGCCCCGTGAAAGCCACTCACATTCAGGGAGGGAGACTCTCCAGAGACCCACCCCGGAACTGCAGCATCTAAACTGTAACCCCGCAGAGGCAGAGGGGCAGAGAACGCAAAGCGACAGCATTTCCCAGACAAGAAATGCAGGTGGTCTCTTAATCACAACTGTTGCTGAACCTGAAGGCGGCCTACAGTGGGACGGAAGCGTGCTCAGCTTACCTGAATAACAGCAAGAACAGGCTTAAAGGCAGGGTTCTTCTCTTGCAGCAAACTCAGAACTTCTTTGGAGTTCTGTATGACTTCTCTGCATTGAAAAAACAAAAGCCATGCAGGCATTTATTTATTAATGAGCAGACAGGGTGGAGCCAACACAACCTTCTTACAAAGTTCCTGACTATAAACGAAACTAGACAACAGAAGGGCAGGTGCATGAGTCCAGCCTGTGGAGGGGAGAGAGAGGAAAGGGATGAAATCACATAACATGAACCCAGGGGACAGCGTGCAGGTCCGATTTTAAAAACAGGCCTAAGGAAATAAAGGTGAGGTCAGCGATAATTTCCTAGGGTTAAGTGCTTCTGTTGTAGCTACTAAATGTACTACAACAAAAAATTGAGGTTTGTCTTTTAAATAATCCCCTCCCCCTTCCACACACACCAAGAATCTGGGATCCATGGGAAAAAACAGACAGGATTTGGGGAGGGAGCTTGCTGTTGCCCAAGAAGCCAGGCCAAACTCCAGGCCCCAGAGTCTGAGAAAGAGGGGTTGGGAAAGCTGCAGACACACTGGGGAGGCTGGGGGATCTGATGCCTCCACAGCCTTGTAGGGGGCGCTTCCTCGCTTCTCTGGGCTCTGCTCTGGGACTTCATAGCACCAGAGGTGCAAGTGGCCAGTGCACGGTGGCAGCACTAAACAGGGCAGCAGCCAGGTTCTCTTTCTGGAGCTCTGCAGGATGAGTAATTGCACTGCATCACCAACACTCCTCCGGAACGCTCTCCGGGGCTCGTGCACAACGACTCTCCTACTCTCACAACAGCCCAGGTGCCTGGCCCCAGCAGCACCCGGGCTTCTTCAGTGCTGAGAGCACCTTTGCATTTTCTTCTGTCAAGGTCTCACGTGCACCTAGCAGACCTCAGATATGCGAGGGGAACAAGTTCCAGCCAAATCGCACCGGCAGGGAATCAACAGGTACTGGCCCCTTCTCCCAGGTTTCACAGAGGCAGGTGCATGAGAACAGGGGATGCTTAGAAAAAGCCTGGGGGGAGGGAGAGGCGACCAGGAACACGCATTTTAGACAAGGCATTCCAACAGTTCTGAAACACTGGCTCAGTGGAAATACAGCCCAGGACTGACATGTGGGCCTTTCCCGTTACTTAGCTTCCATAAACTCGTTTCTTCATCAGTACATATACTCCAGGGACTCCTTAACTTTTCCTTATAATTGGTCATGTTTTTTCCATCCTTTATAACTACACTAAAAAAACAAATTCATCCTGATAGCAATAATCTCAGAAACATCCACAGTCTTGCCTACCTCTCAAAGAAACGAATAGTTAACATGTAATTAGAGGGGCTGACACTGTGGCATAGTGGGTAAAGCTGCTGCCGGCAATGCCTGCATCCCATGTGGGTGCTGGTTCAAGTCCCAGCCCCTCCACTTCCAATGCAGCTCTCTGCTATGGCCTGGGAAAGCAATACAAGATGACCCAAGTCTTTGGGCCCCTGGACCCACGTAGGAGACACGAAAGAAGCTCCTGGCTTCGGATTGGCCCAGCTCTGGCCATTGTAGCCAACTGGGGATGTACCAGGTGATGGAAGGCCTCTCTCTCTCTTGCTCTCTGCCTCTCATTCTCTGACTTTCAAGGAAATAATAAATAAATCTTAAAAAAAAAGTAATTCGAGTTTTAAACTAGTTGTGTGGGGATAAGAAAGACAAGGTGGGTGCATAAAGGCAGTTCAGCACCATAACGAGCTAAGAAAACATCAGTGTGCTTCTGCCCAGCTCATCATATGCTGTAATGTTCCATTTCTTGGGGTTACTCATTGCCCTTACAGTGACAAACACAGCCTGCACAATGAGTTACCAGCTCAATAAATCTAAAAAGTAGCACAAGTGATTCTAATCAGGAGAACAATGCAATGGCCGTGTCAGCTTCCACTGTGGCTGGGAACAGTGGGGAAGAATGGGTGACTCTGGCTGGGCTGTCATTCCTACTGCCAACTCAGAAGCCTATTGTTGGACAGGTTAATAATAATCTAAGCCACCACCACCAGATTCCCTGTGAATACCATACTGACCGTATCTGTTACCATTACTGCTACTACTGTTGCTCTCCCTCTGCCTGTCTGTGCACTAAGCCAGCCGGGCACAAATCTGCCTGGTGACAAGGACCACATTTCTCAACTTCCCTGTGGCTAGCTGTGGCCCAACACCAGGCAATTGGGGAGGAAACAGCTGGCCATGTTACTGAAAGCTGTCAATTGAAGTGTATCTCTTGATTTAGGCAGGCAGATAGGATAAAACTGATTAGGCTTGTGAGCTGGAAGACCACGCCTCCTTTGTGATCTGATACCCCTACCTGACCCCACCTGTACCCCCACCTGCCAATCAGACTATGTAACAACACCCCCCTTTGGAAGTGGATAAAAGGCCTGGAACATGGTGGACCCTCCCCTTTCTTCAGGGCTCAGGGCCTACTGGCCTGATCTTTGCCTCCCCTTAAGCTCTATGGCTGCTTATAACCATATGCCTGCTCCACGTGGTTCGCCCCTGGCCTGCTCTCTGCTTGGTATGGACCCAACTTAGCTTCTAGACTTCACTTTCTCCCCTAAAAAAGCCCTCACTCTCCTGCGCATTTCTCTCACTGAATAAAATCCTTAAAAACTTACCATGTTGTCTGGTCTATTTGAGCCAGTATTCAGAGACTTCTGAATACTGGCAAGAGCCCACAAGCTTATTCATATTGAAAATCATTAATAAGAAATCTGATATCACACTGAATGCTAAGTCTATTTAACAATCTTCTACATTTCTTCTCAACTCTTAAAAAGAGGTACTTTTTAATAAATATAGTGAAGATTCCCCAAGTCCACTCCTCCAAAGACAGCCACCGGTATTCAGAGAAGCAGTCCAGGTTAAAAGTAGCACAGAGCAGTTTAATGATGGCAACTGACAGATAAATTCAATATACCAGCAACAGTAACAAAACTGAGGCCCACAGCTAAATCAGAGGTGGCAAACCTTTCTCCTGCCAAGGACCATCTGGCTATTTGTATCATTACCCTGCCCTTTATTTAATTAATTTCCATTCCTGCCTGCAGCTGCCTTGGCACTGTGAGGAGTCAGACAGGTTAACAGGCAGTTAGGTTGGAAAATGAAGAAAAGGGAGTCCCCCAAGAGGGTGCAAAATGCTTGCTTTCCCCAAAGGTTATCTTTACCAAGATCAAAGTACTGAATCCCAAAATGAATGTACCTGCCCCAGCCCTAGGGAGCTTCCAATTTTATCAAGAGAATTGCAAAGGAGTGGTGATTCCACCCTCCGGGGTGCCCCAGTTTACAGTGAAAACAAATTACCCCTCCCACCCTTCCCCAGGGTTCTTGTTTTATCAGAGCAAGGCAGGCAGGGCAAAAAGATCACAAATCAGGTCTTCTGAAGGGTTTGGTCCCTACCCGGTAACTGAATGCTAGGTGATTATCAGGTTTTTTTTTCCCTCAAAAAATTGTGCTTAAAAACCCCACTACTATCAGCCCCTTGGGGGTTTTGCCTCTCTTGGAGTCTCTCTCCTGGCCACTGGCAGGGGGAGGTCTCTGACTTAAATAAATGTTGCTTTTCTCTCTGCCTTGTCCACCTGGAAATTCTTCCTCCATGTGAGACAAAGAACAGAGGTAATCTTTTCTCCACCATGGAGCAGGATGGTCGGTCCAAATCCTTTTCTGGGCCGCATGTTCCCAACTCCTGGCTTCCACCACCAGGTCCTTCCTACGGCTAGGCCTTCCATGCATTCTTCTCTTCTTCAGTGACACAGCTCTGTCTCAGCTGCACATGGCCACTGAGCTGGGGCCACATCTCGGTCCCACTCACCTGCTGTGCGGTGACAGACCCTGACCAGACAACAGCCACCTGACCCCTTTCCCATCTACAGCTGGAGGAGTGAGCGGACATCTCAGGGTCTCCGGCCTCCCCTGGACACTCCACTCCGGGGAGTAAAGTCCACGGTATCTGGCGCATTGCTATGGCTTGGATGTGTCCCTAAAGCTCGGGTGTTGGAAACTCGGTCCCTAGCACAAGCATTGACAGGTGGCCCCTTTAAGAAGGGATATGGCCACGAATGGGTTAATGGCATTATCTTGAGTGGGTTCCAGACACAAAGATGGTTTTGTTCCTCTTCTCTCTCACACACAGTCTCTCCCTGGCTGGTCTCCTTCTGCAACAAGATGATGCAGTAAGGAGAAGTGCCAGACGCTGGCTCCTGGATATTATAAATGACCCAGTCTGTGGTGTTGTGTTGGACAGCACACACTGTCAAGACAGGCATCTACTGAAGCAGCCTGGCCTGACTCCTAGGGCAGGCAACAGCAGGATCTCAGCCACTGCCTTCCATCAGGTCTAAGAGCAGCCATGAGCCACAGGGAAAAACACCAATTAAACCACGGCGGTTTTAAAATGTGAATGTGCGTATTGAAGTGTGGGTGTGTTTTAGTGGGAAGTTTTAAAATTTGAGTATGTGTGTTTAAGTCTAGACAAAAACAAACCAAAAAGGAGTTAGCAGGGCTTGCCCAGTGAACACAGATCCCGGACCTGGGGCCCAACCCGCACCCGCTAGGAGGCAGGAAGGGCTTTCCCACCACCTCTGCAGGGGCCGGCTCCCGGGGAACCCACTGCTCCCCCAAGGGCCAGACCCGGGGTCTTCCTTGCCAGGCTGCACCGAGGGGCAGAGGCTGAGGCCCCGAGAGGCTGTGGGGTGCACGGGTGCCTTCTCCAGTCCGGGGGAGGGGCGCAGCCCAGGACCCCCACGATTCACCTCCAGGACCCCAAAATCCCCCTTCCAGACACTGCCGCGCTGGAAACGCCGCGCCCACCCGCGAAGGTGGGCCGGACTCCACCTTCACTTTTCTAGAAAACGGTAACCCAAGTCACGAGGCGCACGTCCCGCCTGCAGTGGGAGGCGGCGTCCGGTAGGGCGGACTTCACCAGCTCGGCGGGGACGGAGCCCGCGCGCGGCCCGGGATGGAAGGGCCCCGGCTTGGGAGGGGCGTCGGAGACCGCGCCCGCCTCGCCGGAGCCTGGCCCGCCCCTCCGCACCGCCCTTTCCCGTCGGGGCGGCGAACGGCCCCGTTGCATCACAGCCCGCAGTCCGTGGCGCACGTGCCGTGGGGCGTGCGATCCGTGCCGCACCGCGTCGGCCGGGGATGCCCGCGCGCTCCTGTCCCCTGGCCCGCCTCTGTATTCCACCGGCGCCCCCGGCCCGCTCTCCGCAAGCACACGCTGCCGGCGCCAAAGAGCCTGGAGCGCCCCAGCAAGTCGTCCCCAAGCGCTCTCGGACCCGCACCCGGCATCCCCCACCCCCACGGCGGCCCCCGGGGGGGTCCCGCCAGAGCCGCCGCCGCCACCTGGGACGGGGCCACGCCTGGCGCCGACTCACCGGACGATCGAGTCCCGCGCGGGGGGCTCCGGGCTGCCGGGACCGCAGCTGCTCCAGGCCTGGCCATCCTGCAGCCGCCGATGCCCGAGCAGGCCGTCCCGGCCGCCACCTCCACCGCCGCTGCCGGCGCGACACGGCACGCGGAGGCAGCGCGGCGGGCCCGGAGGGCGCAGCGGGCGGCCGAGCTGGCGCAGCACGAGCGGCAGGCGCGCGCGCATGGTGCGGCGGGGCGCGGGTCCTCCGGGGCGGAGATGCGGCGGGTTCCTCCGGGGGCGGCCGGCTGGCGGGTAGCAGGCGGCGCGGCGAGGATCGGGCGCTTCCTCTCCGAGGAGCCGGGGCCCCTAGCGGGCACTGCCCGGGCGGCCGTGACGTCGGAGGGCGGGGGCTGCCGGCTGCAGCGGCCCGAGGGCAGGCCCGGCTTCCCGGCACTTCGGCGGACTCGGCGAAGCGTGGGCTGCGGGGCGAGTCCGAGGCGGGCGGGGCCGGAGATGCGGAGCTCGCGCTCCTGGGCTGGGGGCGTGCACTTCCTGCCCCGGCGGCGGCGGCTCACCCACCGTCCTCCGGGACGGACTCGCTCGGGTTGTGGACGGAGCTGGGAGCTCGCGCCGCCCCTTCCATCCTGTCCTGAGTCTTTTTTTGGGGGGGGGGGGTTTGCATCGTCGCTTGCTCGTCGGGATTTCGGGGGCTCCGGAATAGCTGATATTGTTACAGTGCTGCCTTTTACAAAGCGGAAGTAAGCAAGTAAATTCAAACAGCCAGCCTATGCCTTTGAGACCCAGTGCAGGTGACAGAACCCCTGGGTGGCTCACGTGTCCCCAAAATGGGGGCCGTTCACTTAGACCCCCACTGAATACCACCGGCCGCAGAGACCACGCCCAGTCCCCGCCCCCTGGAGGGTCCGGGTGGCGCTCCCGCCACAGTAGTAACAGTTGCTGCTCCACCTGGCAGGAGCTGCAGTAGTGACATTTAAAGCGGCTGTGTGATTCATCTCCGTGAGACAGAAAACCAGGGGCGGGCATTGTGGCACAGCTTGGGGCACCCACGCCCCGTACACTGGAGTGCCAGTTCAAGCCCAGGCTACTCTGACTTCGCTCCAGCTCCTCGCTAATGCACCAGGGAAGTTGCAAATGGCTCAAGTATTTGGGTCGCTGCCACCCATGTGGGAGACCCTGATGGAGTTCCTGGTTCCTGATTGCAACCGGCTCAGTCCTAGCTGTTTGCAGCCACTTAGGGGCAGAAACCAGTGGGTGGAAGTCACCCCACCCCCCTCACCCCTCACTCTGCCTTTCGAATAAATAAATCTAAAAAGAAGGGAAATTGGCCGGCGCCGCCGCTCTCTAGGCTCACTAGGCTAATCCTCCGTCTTGCGGCCCCGGCACACCGGGTTCTAGTCCGGGTCGGGGCACCGGGTTCTGTCCCGGTTGCCCCTCTTCCAGGCCAGCCCTCTGCTGTGGCCCGGGAGTGCAGTGGAGGATGGCCCAAGTCCTTGGGCCCTGCACCCCATGGGAGACCAGGAGAAGCACCTGGCTCCTGCCTTCGGAGCAGCGCGGTGCGCCAGCCACAGCGAGCCGGCCGTGGCGGCCATTGGAGAGTGAACCAACGGAAAAGGAAGACCTTTCTCTCTGTCTCTCTCACTGTCCACTCTGCCTGTCAAAAAAAAAAAGGAAATTAGTGAAGGGTACTGCCAGGGGCAGAGGGATAAGGAAATTGGGAGGTGGTAGCTATTAGCACAGGATGATGAAGATTATCCAGGTGATTGTGATGAGTTGCAAACTGAATATTCTAAAAACCATTGCATTGTGCACCATGAATGAGTGAATTGTATATATATGAGTTCTGTCTCAATAAAACTTGTTACTGGGGTGGGGGAGTAGGGGCTGGCCTTGTGGCATAGTGGGTAAAGCCACCGCCTACAACTCTAGCATTGTATGTGGGGACCAGTTCATGTCCCAGCTGCTCCATTTCTGATCCAGCTTCCTGCTAATGCACCTGGGAAAGCAGTAGAAGATGGCCCAAGTGCGTGGTCCCCTGCCACCCACATAGGAGACCCAGAAAAAGTTCCTGGCTCGTGGATTCCTCCTGGCTGTTGCAGCCATCTTGGGAGTGGGCAGGCAGATGGAAGATCTCTGTCTCTCCCTTCCTCCCTCTCTGACTTTCAAATAAATGAATGAATCTTTAAAAGAAAAGAGATAAGCCTATGAGGCAAGGTTGTGAGGAATGGCTAGTCCTTCACTCCTTTTTAAGCAGAAGAATCAGAGAGAATGCAGAAAATTCTGATCTTTAATTTAGAATCAGTAAATATCTATTTCTGATGATAAACAAAGTATTTACACTATGCAAAATGTAGAATGCATGGAGAGGAATAAATAAAATCCACAGTAGTGCCAAGATATGACTGTTCATTTTAATTTCAAGTGTTGACCTTTAAACGGTTTCACACAATTGCAACCATACTATAACAAAGACAAGGGGACTTCAAAAATTCATAGAAAGTGGTAAAAAAGATTGGTTTAGGCTGGCACAGCAGCTCACTAGGCTAATCCTCCGCCTGCGGCGCTATCATCCTGGGTTCTAGTCCTGGTCAGGGTGCTGGATTCTGTCCCGGTTGCTCCTCTTCCAGGCCAGCCCTCTGCTGTGGCCTGGAGAAGGCAGTGGAGGATGGCCCAAGGGCTTGGGCCCTGCACCCGCATGGGAGACCAGGAGGAAGCACCTGGCTCCTGGCTTCAGATCAGCACAGCGCTGGCCGTAGCGGCCATTTGGGGGGTGAACCAACGGAAGGAAGACCTTTCTCTCTGTCTCTCTCTCTCTCTCACTGTCTAACTCTGCCTGTCTTATGAAGAATAGACGATAAAAGGTTTATCTTCAGGCAAAGATGTGAAATTCATGAATTTAAGAGGTCCTCAAAAGTTCACAGAAAATGAATATTATGAAAAAATTATGCATAGCTTTAGAAGTCTTTTTGTAAAGATTTATTTATTTGAAAGGCAGAGTGACAAAAAAGTGAGAGAAAGAGATCTTTCATCCTCTGGTCTGCTCCTCCAATGGCAACAGGCCAGGGTAGGCCAGGCCAAAGCCAGGAGCCCCAGCTGAGTCTTCTACATGGGTGTAAACACAGCTTGGGCCAAGCCCGAGGTGCTCCAATTCCACATGAAAGGTTCTTGAGTTCTTACAAATATCATACACTTGCATGATGAAAGAACAGGAAAAGGAGAAAGCTTTATGGAAGCAGGCTTAGTGTGGTGCAGTGGGTCAAGCTACTGCTTGCGATGCTGGCATCCCATATCAGAAAACCAGTTTGAGTCCCAGCTGCTCCATTTCTGGTCCAGCTCCCGGCTAATGCGCCTGGGAAAGCAACAGATGATGGCTTAAATACTTGGGCCCTTGCTACCTATGTGGGAGCACAGGACGGAGTTCCAAGCTCATGGCATCATCCCGGACCAGCTCTGTCCATTGTGGCCATCTGGGAGGTGAACCAATGGATGACAGATCTCTCTATCCCCTCACTGCCTGTCAGATAAATAAAGCTGAAAAGAAAAAAATGCTTTTGGAGAAAGTGTGTCCTTGAGGAAGAGTTGTTGGATAAAGGACATGGATTGAAGGAACTGCTGGAAGAGAAAGATAAGGACCTGTGGGAGCTTACGTAAGAGACAAGGTGGTGCAGAGACAGACAGCTGTGTGGAGAACAGCGGTGGAGCCAGAGAAGATGGTCAGAGGGCCAGCAGCCCCAGGAAGAGAATGTGGCGCACGGTGGTGTAAGTGGCTCAAAGGATGCTAAAGAGACAAACTCACCAAATACCAGCAGGTTAGAAGTGGAGAGAGACACTGGGCTTTCTATGGGTCACGACAGAGGCACTTCCGTGGCAGTGCTGGCCTCCCGGGGGAACTACTTGGGAGGGAATGGTTTGCTGGGCTTAGGGAGCAACCCTGCACTTGGGGCAGCTTTTCCAAAGTCTGCAGGGAATGGCCTGGGCCTGATCTCTGTGGACAGGCTGGAAAGCCTGGCCCTGAAAAGCTGGCCTGTTCTGTTGGAGTGTGGGTAGTGTACACACTGATGCCGGTCTACAAAATCCACCTCATTACCAGCTGGTGTGTGGTTGCACAAACGAGGCATGCCTTTAGACATTTGTGATATAAATCTTTAACAGCAGCTGATGATTCTCTTGGAATAAATGGCCAGAAGTATAGTTCCCGGCATGAAAGATTATGAATTTTTAATGTTGTTGATACATATTACCAAATTCATTTGTGAATATTTTATTACCAAGTCTTCTCATTTGTTTGGGAGTAATCTTGTTTCCCCATCTTTAATAATATTGGAGGGTGGGAGTGGTGGTACAGCAGCTGCTGCTTGGCATACCCGTATCCCATATCACAGTTCAAGTCCCTGCCACTACCCTTTTGGTCTGCTTCCAGCTCACACACACCTGGAAGGCAGCAAATGATGACACAACCAGTTGAGTTCCTGCCACCTACATGGGAGAACCAGATGGAGTTCCTGGCTCCTGGGTTTGGCCTTGGTCCAGTTGTTGCAGACATGCAGGGAGTGAACCAGCAGATGGAAGATCTCTCTCTCTCTCTCTCTCTTGCTCTCTCTTTCCACTTCTCCATGTCACTCTACTTTTAAAATAAATACATTTAAAAAACAATATTGGGAAATAAATGTTGGAAAAAAAGTCATGAAGTTATAATAGTTCTGAGAGTATTTTTGCATCCCTTGTATTTTCTATTTCTTCACTTCTTGGATTAGCTCTTGCTCCAGACTTTCAGTTCCAGGACACTGGTGGAGCACACGGCCTTGGTACACGGAGATAATGGGGCCCAGGGCAGGTTTGTTTGCTGTCCAGAGTAAGACAATGTCTCACTCCAAGGCTGGGCAGGGTTGTTAGTTTACCTCTTTACAATTAGGGATTCCTACACTCAAGGCTCCTCACTTTGGACACCCCCACCTCTTCCAATGTGTGTAGCCTCCAGCAGGGCTGCTGGGCAACATGGGGTGGGGGTGGAACGAGAGGAAGCAACGCGAGTGCAGAGCCTGTGCTGCCAGCCTTGGTCTGACCAGGACTCTCACGCCACCTGCCCGTGTGTGGGAACCTGAGGCAGGAGAATTGTTGGCTTGTGAAACTGGGAAAGACCCAGACCCTTCCTAGTTCTTGAAGGTCATTTCTTGGGGGAGTGTTGAGGACCAAGGGAGTTTGTCCCGGGCTGTAAGGTGAGGGGGAAACCCCTAGGGCGGCAGGGGCATATGTGGGAGGAGGGCTTCCTTGAGTTGTGTATAGACATGTTTTGCTGGCTAAGGGCAGAAGCAGGAAGATGGGAGAGACGGTGACCAGACAACCCGTTAGCAGGCAACACACCAGGCAAGGGGCTAGGGAGGAGAGGCCAGCCAGATGGGGACCGATCTCAGTTCTGGACACTCAGGTGATGATGTCCTATAGGAAAACTCCCCCTGGCACACAGTGTGAAGAGCAGTGATGCCTACAGTGAACTCCTACAGTTGAAGGCGAGCAGAGTGGACATGCCTAAGGCCTGCAGAGGTTTCTAGTCCAGGCAGGTAACGTGACCTAGTGAGGTGGACCAGGCACAAGCTCCCCCCCAGGCAGCAACACAATTGCTGTCTCCATAAAATCTTTCTGTTCAAGTGCCTTGTGGTTGCTTCCACTTGGCCTCCTTAACCACGGCTGTCATGGGGAGCACGGGAACCATCTTCTGGAAAGATGAGTTGTTTCCTTTGGGGGTGAATGTCATCTTTGGGCCCCTGCTCAGGTCTCGCAGTGTTGCCTTGCTAGGATCCAGGCCTACATAGGCCAGATGGTTTTTCTTTTAAAACAGCCAGAAATTTGGATTTTTATGTTTACACCTGTGTAGAACACACCTGCGAGTTTGAACCTCTGCTGTAACTGGTCTAAGGAAGAGGGAATCTGCTCACCCTCTGCTTTGGGTTAATGGCCTAACGGGGACTATGAGGCAGTGCATTCAGGGGCTTAGATTTGTCCATTCAGCAGAAGTTTTTTTTCAGGCAGAGTTAGACAGTGAGAGAGAGAGAGAGAAAGGTCTTCCTTCCGTTGGTTCACCCCCGAAATGGCCGCTACGGCCAGCGCTGTGCTGATCCAAAGCCAGGAGCCAGGTGCTTCCTCCTGGTCTCCCATGCGGGTGCAGGGCCCAAGGACTTGGACCATCCTCCACTGCCTTCCCGGGCCACAGCAGAGAGCTGCAGAAGTTCTGATCACTGTCCAAGCCCTATTCTTTCATGCTGAGCTGAACAGACATCGTTGTAGAACCAGTGAGGTGGAACGGCCTGCTTCTCCTTTCCCATGGAATGCTGCGTGTGCAGTGATGCCAGTCAGGAAACTGGCGCTTGGTTGCTCTTCACAGATACACAGTGCACTTTGCGCATGGGCACACAGCAGACAGCAGGCCAGTTTGTCTCCTGGCAGTGACCATCGCCCTCCACTTCATCTGACTTCAACCCCTACTGCGGGCTGTAGGCGCTCTCGCTGCATCCAAAGCAGTTACTGGGCAAGGAATTCGGGCTACAGAGAATCTGGAGGAGGACACAGTGACCCCAACCCCACAGGCCCTTGTGGGTGCTTCGCTTAAAAAGTTGCTGGAAATCTGCAGAGTAAATGTCCCTGGAATTTTACCAGCCATGAGATGCAAAGGGACGGAGAGTCTTCACCAAATGCCACCTTCCCCTGAGAGCACTAAAAATAGGCAGTGGACATTGGATTTCTGAGCTTTCTGTGAATTTCTAAAAGCGATTCAGTGGCTGCTGTTCTCTCCTGTGCGCCTGTGACTTGAGTGCTTGTCTCTGCTGTGTGCTCAGATTCTCACCTCCACTCGTTCATTAAGCAGGAACTGGACACCCAAGAATTTCCCAGGCCCGTACAGCACTGGTTAAAAACAAGTTTCTACCTCAAGGGAACAAAACAGACCATACTTCCCCATGCCAGCTTTTAGAATAGTCTTCCAAAAACGAACTTTTGATCAGCTGTAAAAGAACTTTCAAATACACTGGGAACCAAACACCCCCTATTTTAGTACTTCTCAGATTCTGCATGTATAACACGTTTTTAGTGCAAGGTAGCTCCATGCTCTAAACTACTAGAAAGATGAGAAACTGGGAGAAGCTAACCATGAGAAAATGATTACATCTTTGTAGATTTTTAACAAAAAAAGGATTGAAAAATATACAACAGAAAGCTCAAGATCTTGTCCATAGGTCAAAGTTGAAGTTAAAATAAACATGTATGTATGTATATATATATACACACATACATATACATGTAAGATAGCATGAAAGGCAAGCTGTTTTTTATTGTGATGCTTTTCTGAGTGATAAGATTTGGTGTATTTACTACTATGCAGTTACAGAATGTTAAATACCATCAGGAATGTCAGGGTTCTTGAAATGCTCTTAAAATTTGCTCTTCAAAATATATTTTTGACATCAAAAGACAATAATTCATATTGAATATTCATATTCAATAGCCATATTTATAGCTCATTATAAACCCAATTTTTTTCTCCTAAGAATTTAATTTCTGAGTAACATTTACATAGGTTGTGGTTTTTTCTGCTTTCATTTGCTTCTCCAAATTGAACTCTTACGACTTGTAGCAAACCCAGCCATTTACTACCTCAGAGTGGAACAGTAAGATGAGGCAGGTGAATGTGGAAACCTGTCATCCTAGACCATTGTTATTATTATTATTTAAATATTTTATTTATTTGAGAGGTAGAGTTACAGACAGTGTAACTCTTCAAATGGCCACACTGGCTGGCGCTGCGCCAGGCTGAAACCAGGAGCCAGGAGATTCTTCTGGGTCTTCCACAAGGGTACAGGGGCCCAAGCACCTGGGCCATCTTCTACTGCTTTCCCAGGCCATAGCAGAAGGCTGGATCAGAAGAGGAGCAGCCAGGACTTGAAAACTGGCCCCAACATGGGATGCCGGCACTGCAGGTGGCAGCTTGCCACAGTGTTGCCCCCTCCCCTTTTTTTTTTTGAAAGGCAGAGTTAGAGAGAGAGGGAGAGACAGAGATAGATGTCTTCCATCCACTTGTTCACTCCCCAAATGGTCACAAACAGCCGGAGCTGGACCAGACAGAAGCCAGGAGCCAGAAACTTCATCTGGGTCTCCCACATGGGTGCACGGCCCAAGTACTTTGGCCGTCCTCTGCTGCTTTCCCAGGTACATTAGCAGGGAGCAGGATCAGAAGTGAAGTGGTGGCTTAACCCACTACACCACAACACTGGCACCCATCCTAGAACATTCTAAAGGGAGATTGTAAAGCTATTTTCCTCAGTATGAGACAAGTTAGAAAGCTTAAATGAGGGTGCTCTAACAGTTCACAGAAAAATAGAATTGAAAGACGTTTATTTTGGGCTGGCGCCGCGGCTCACTAGGCTAATCCTCCGCCTAGCGGCGCCGGCACACCGGGTTCTAGTCCTGGTTGGGGCGCCGGATTCTGTCCCGGTTGCCCCTCTTCCAGGCCAGCCCTCTGCTGTGGCCAGGGAGTGCAGTGGAGGATGGCCCAGGTGCTTGGGCCCTGCACCCCATGGGAGACCAGGAAAAAGCACCTGGCTCCTGGCTCCTGCCATCGGATCAGCGCGGTGCGCCGGCTGCAGCGCGCCGGCCACGGCGGCCATTGGAGGGTGAACCAACGGCAAAGGAAGACCTTTCTCTCTGTCTCTCTCTCTCACTGTCCACTCTGCCTGTTAAAAAATTAAAAAAAAAAAAAAGACGTTTCTTTTGGTGCAAAAATGTTTAAAATCTATAAACTGAATATTTTCATAATATGTATCTTTGGTGACCTTTGTGAAACCCATCATATTTTCATTGGTTTTATGCTTATATTTGCATGTCCATAATTACCAATTTATACTAGCATGCTATTGTTCCCTATACAATTTTTGTCAAGCAAAGAAAATTTAGAACATGAAGTTCCATGAAAAAAAAAACTTAATTTTTGCCAAATTAAATTTTTTGATTCAATAATTAAAATTAAAAGAATGTATTCTGTTACTGCAGATTTTCATGGATGACATAGAATCAAACCACCTATCAATAAAACAAAAGCCTCCCAGACACTACATTCAGTATTTCAAAAGTCATCCAGAGATGCAGAACTGGCTGCCATGGGCCACTGAACAACAACTATATCATCATTACCTGGGATTTGCCTCTGCATGGTCCAGAAAGCAAGACAAATACCACGACCCAATGTAGCTTGGAAAAATCTTGATGTTCTTGGAACAAACACATGAATTCACACTCTAATGTACTTTGCACTTTACAAACTTTATTAAATAATGGGCATTACTAACTTTTACTATATTATATACAGTATTTAAACTATGTTTAACAAGACACATTTCTTCCCCACATCAGATAGAGTAGGTGAAAAATGAACTTATATAAAAAAAATTGAACCTCAGGACAGAACCTAAAAAGAACTTGACATACTTTTAAGTACATATAACTTTTTACCCAATTATATACATCCCCGCCCCACCTCCAAAAGAAACTGTTTTAAACAGGAGCACTTAATTGATAACTTTGAGGAAAAATACGAACGTAATTTTGTATATACACACATCTTGCAATATCTGCATCCTGGCCAACAGAAATAATCTGTGGTGCCACGGATTCGTCCTGGACCCTAAAGAACCACATGGACATTTTGTACAGTGAGACATCTGCCTTCGTGCAGTGGAGTGTACCCTACAGGTGACACCAGTCATGTAATGTGACACTGAGGTGAAGGACAATTTCTGAGGGTCAGACACCCCAGTAAGGTGGACTACACAGGATTTGGGTCCCAAAATGCAAAAATGGGAAATGGTACTCCTAGGACCAGATCAGGACACAGCTTTTTAGAAGGCAAACGCACACATACTTTCCATGGAGACCATACTTTCCTATGGTGTTTGTCTTTTTTAATAGTGCTTAATCCTGAAAAACTCATTTCATGTTAAATAGAAGCAATGAAAGAAGCAATGTTTCCAGAACCATGTTATTCAATATGGACTTTGTTTTATAAGCTACAAGAAAAATAGTTGGGAGAGGCAAGAAACTTTGGTTATCTGTCATTATTTTAAAAGATAAAAAAAAAAAAACCATAAATGTCAAAAACAGATGGTCACATTTTATGTTTTACAGTTAAGAAAGAGGCATGGGTCTTAAACAGAAAAGAATCATGGTAAGATACCACTGATTCAGCATTATTGCTTACTTTTAAATGAAAACTCCTTTCCCTATACATGTTATTTTTTTAAAGTGGAAATTGATTAGTTTTAAATTAGAATAAAAGGGAACTAAAATCAAACGGAAACCGAGTGGGTTGAAAGAGCCTCAGCATCCACAACTGCTCCGGGTGAGATACATCAGTGGAGTCTTCAGTCAACTGGAATGTTTCTATAAAGTAGTAATGCCTCTACCTTCACTGTTCTCATTAGCCTCTTTGATTTTAGTTTGTCCCCACAGTGTCTTGCTTTTGTTCTTCTGTTTCCTTAAGAGTTCGGTTCCTATGCAACTCTATCATGAAAGGCTGTTTAAAGACCATGATGGCAACATAGAAATAAGACGTTACCAGGCAGACCTAGACACGGAACACCATGTTTCTGACATGCCTCAAAGCAACGGGAAAAGGCTGTCCCTACAACAGGGTTGTGAACAAGGGCTCATCTGGCAGAGGCCAAAAGCTGCTGGACAGGGTGCCTTTAAGCTGCTTTTTTTTTATTATTGTGGTTTATGGTTTACTCTGGATCAGAGACAGGTGCAAGATGGAAGGTTTTGCTTTCTTTTTTCCCTCCTTAAGTGTAATTTGAAGGGACAATAAAGTTGTTTCCAGGCCTCACCCCATCTTTTCTAATCGTTAAGTCAACTTGCATTTTGTTGAACGTGGTTTTCTTTAAGCCATTAAGGAAATCATTCATGTCATCCCAGAAATGACATAGTCGACATGACAAGCAGCTCATTTTTCAGGCCTTGTCCAGAAACACAGGAAAGGGATTCTGCTTACACCAAATTGGTCCTGCTATGTTTTACTTTTCAACTGGCACAGATTCTGCAGCAGGATGAAGTGCTATAGGAATGCCAGCGTCGCAGCCTTTGACGGTGCGGTAGACTATCCTCCAGTCAGAGATCTCTGGTTTAAGTTAGTCTATGGTCTAGACACAAATGTCAGATACAAGCATCATTCTTTAAATACCTTTAATTTCCTTTCCTTTTAAACCCGTGGAAAAGTCTCCTTGTTGCCTTTGATCCTAGGATAAAACTACGTAGGGCTTCAGGATAATATGAGAGTATTATTATTGCATTCCTTAAAGTATGAGCATTGTCAAGATATGGGAAAATAATACCATGGTCATCATGTTAAAAAAAAAAAGACTAAAAATTTTCAAGTAAGGTTGACTTACATGAAACACGAAGACAGCATGGGAAAACATACTGCTAGATGCTGACATTGGCTACAGTACAATCCTGGCTGTGTCATCAGCCTGGTTCTAAAAGTTGTGCTATAAAAGAAAGTAGTTTTTACAACTCTGGTCATTACAAAATTGTCTTACCCTGGTACATAGAAAACATCCCATCACTATCCAGGATTCATGAGCATGATCAGAAGCTATGCCAGGCAGCTGTTACCAAGAACCTTAGGCAAAGCTGCTGGAACTAAGACATTGAAATTTTTCCCTTAGAGACTGGACGATATTTTGTTGATTGGGAGAAGGCCCCCTCCAAAGGTAGTCATTCAGTTTGTCAGAATCATTATATGATGTCAGATAGGGTGAGAGCCCAAGTTTGCTGTTCATTGGCTTTTTTGGAGTGCACGGGCTATTCAAAGAGTAAGAGGTGCTGCTGTGGCAGACGGCTTCAGAAAAGTCCGCATCCACGATCTTTGAGTCAGATTTCCTCCTGCGATTATGAAACAGCTCCGACTCTGACTCATCTTCTTCTGACCTGATTTCCACATAGTCATCTTCATCGCCTTCAGTCTCTTTGAAATTGGAAAAATAGTTCTGTGTTGCTCTCTGGGCATTTAAGGGTAAATTTCTATTGACTACCAGAACTTTCTGTGAGTCTTGGAGAGTGAGATCAGAGTGTTTTTCAGTGCCCTGTTGGCATGAGTCTGTGACTCCCGGCAGCACATCCTGGTGGCCCTCACACCTTGAACTCTTATGTAGAGACACCAGCTGTTTCCTTCCCACCTCACTGGGATAGTTGATGGAGTCCACTGATTTGTTGATCAAGATTGAGGATGACGACTGGGACCTGTTATAAGGTTGAGATTTAGTGCTGATTCCTTTCCGGCCCAACGAGTTGTAAAGGTAGCCCTGGCATGAGTTCTCCTTGTTGGGCTGATTCACTATCACGCTGCCTCTCTGCACGGAGCCCAGGAGAGCATCAGAGGTTTGCAGCGAGGGCACGGAGCAGGCTGCAGACAACTGTCTGGGAGGACTTTTTGTACTGCTCTGCAAAGTGGGATATTTGGGCCTGAAGTCTTGCTCTGGCCGGGGACAGAAATCTGCTAATTCTCCATTACTATAGGTTGAGTGCCAAAGCCAGTCCTGGCCACCATGCTGGGCCAGGGCGGGTGATGCAGCCCTGAGAGGGGACGATTCTTGGGGACTGGCCCAGCTGTCCTTTTGAACTTTCGCTGGAGTCTCTCTGAACACAATCTGGTCGTACAGTTGGGAATACTCAGCAATCCTGGCACCTGGAAGGCAAATATTGAAATTAGAAGTACACACAGGATTATCCCTGGACTAAAAGTCAGACTATAGCATGCTAACCAACATATCTTTAACAACTTAAACAGTAGGTAGTACTTTCAAGTGAGTTTCAGGATGAGTAACCACTGAACACTAGGCAACACAACAAGTGAATGAATCTGTAGTTTAATAGAAATGCCACCTAAAAATTCATCTACTTTGATCAAATTCTGCATTATTTTATTTCAACAGCAGGTCTGAGGGTGTCCATTATATGTAATGAAAATCTCCAGTGTTGCTTGTAAGTGTGAAATAGTGTCAGTGCTGAAAACAGGCATAAAGACAGGCACCTGAGCCTTCTGTCAATGAGAAATCACTCAAAGTAGTCATTAAAAGAAGCAGGACTGACCAGCGGCTACCCCTGCGCTTCCCATGCTTCCTACCTATTTGCTCTCAGACACCCACTCCTTGAGGAGTCTGTCCCCGCACTTGCTGCCAAGCACCCAGCAACCCAGCCGGTGACCACCACTATCTGCAGAACCAACATCTAGCAGAGATCCTCCCCTCCAGTACTTAACCCCCAGAGACTGAGTAATCCACTTGCCCTTTCCCAACCCCAAGAGGCCAGGCAGTGAAGCCATTGTCTCCCAGACAACAGGAATGGTTACTAACAAATAACGATCTAATGCTCTGCAGTAGTGGCTCAAGTTCGGGGCTTCACAGTTGTTTCCACAGAAGCTCTCCCCACTGAAGATCAAGTTCAGATGCCATTGTCCCCTGAACCAGGGGAGATGCGCAGACCAGAGATGCCAACTTCAAGAGCTGCTCCCTCCCCCAACCCAGGTACCTGCAGGGCCACCCAAGAATCAAAGAACTCCATGTATCCCAAAGATCACTGGGACCACATCTACAAATGTCTGGGAAGGAATCCCACATAGCACACCAGCAGGTGACAAGGTGACATTCATGTTCTTTAAAATGTTGATGTTTTCAGTAACCTTTTGTTAGTCCTTGAACTTAAACTAAATAATCTTTAGTTGAATTTCTGGCATTTCTTTTGATTCTATTTCCTACAAGGACAGAAAGCAATCTGCTTTATTTACCCTTTAATAACAGCACCTGCATTTCACTCACCCCCACTCCCTGCAATCAAGGTAAATAGTCTGTTTACCTTCTCATTATAGATCCTATCTATATTCAGTCCTTTGGGTTCTCAACTCCAAATTCCTTGGAAGGACAGAGATTAGTTTAGAAATTTCTAGAAATAGAAACTTGAGAAATTACTCCCTAAAGGATATAGCAAAGACTCTTAATATTATTAAGATTTAGTAATACCTTCAGGGAGTGTGAAAGTGGAAATGGCCACCAGCATACCCACATCAGCCCTCCTGAAACTTAGAACATTTCCTAAGGCAGCCAGACCCTTAGGCATGATCCACGGTTTCCCGTGTGAAAGTTCAGGAGCTCAACACTTTCACACAGTTCCAACATGACAATTTGGGGGACCCAGTAGAACACAGTACAAACTCAAAGGAGCTATTAGAGTATCAAAACATAATCATAAAGTCTTCTAACTACAACCAGCTTTACCCTGGGTAACCTGAAGCCCTGTGTGAATATTATCCAAAATATTCATAGCACTTCTCATGACTTTGTCTTCCTTATCATACTCTCCTGTTCTTCTGTGTAAATTACTCCCCATCTCTCAGGATCGTCCATAAGGCCCATCCTCTCTTGAGTCCTTTCTAATGGCTTCTCTTTTCTGAAGTCTTACATACTTGCTCTGTAGCTAGCTATTGGCTGCACGTGCATGCATAAGCCTGTATGGGCAATTGTGACACTAATTGTTTTACAGAGGCTAGTTTAGTGTTCCAGCTTCTTTCTGAGATTGTGATCTTGGAAAATAGTGTACATTTTTCTCAACCTCCACCCCGTCCCACCCCCCACCTACCACAGAGCACACAGCATCGTTCCAGACAGAAACTGGTCTCAATCACTACTTTATTACTTAGATCATCGTTTTCACCCCCTCCTTGTTTTAAGCATAATGTTAAAAATGGATATGCTTTCCCTGAGACCAAATCACTGGGAGTGGAAAGGCAGACCAGAAATCAGGCCATAGCAGCAAACGGGGAAGCAGGAAGATGGCCTTGACCTTGGATTCAAAGGGTTCCTGTAGATAGATAACTCATGCTAGGTGCAGTTTCTCTTTGGATAACAAGGAATTGACCATTTACCTATTTGAATAGAAATTATCTCACTAGTAGACAATATATTGTGCTTATCTAATTTCTGTATTTGTTTCAACTTGCTCTCCTAAGAGAGCCTCTAACTTGCATATAGCAATGGGAATAAGAGACAAGCTTCAAGAGCACTAAGTGTGATTAAACAGATTCCGTCAGTCTGAGGTATGGACACTGCCAGCCCCCAGTGGTACCTCTGGTCTAAGAAGCTTAGTGTTGGCTGCATCAAGGTCCCCAAGTCATTATTGCCAGCACTGACAGTCTTTATAGAACATGGACAATAGTATGCCCTGACAACATCACAGCTGTCTCTAATTTATTTCCCTTTTATAAGGTTTGAAAGTTGGAGTTCTTATGATTCCAGGTAGAACTTTGAGGTAATCCTTGCTGAGGGAAACATCAAGTATGCAATTTAATCAATGCTTCTTATATTGCCTGAGATGTAGACAAAACCATTAACTTGTGCCTTCCATACTTCTTAGGATTGTTCTTATTTTTTAAATTTTTATTTGTTTATTGGTGAAGGAGGGAGGGAAGAGAAGGAGAGAGAGCGATAAACAAAGAGAGCTCCCATTCATGGACTCATCCTCAAATGCCCACAAGGGCTTGGCTGGACTGAACCGAAGCCAGGAGCTGGGAACAGGATCCAGGTCTCCCATATGGGTGGCAGTGACCTAATTATTTGAGCCATCACCCCTGCCTCCCAGGGTCTGCATTAGCAGGAAGCTGGAGTCAGGAGCCAGAGTTGATATGGAATTTGGAGACTCCAATGTAGGACGTGGGTGCTTTAACCAACATCTTAACCTCTAGGCTAAATGCCCACTGATGCCTTTTCCTAGTTTGCACAAGGAGGAAAATTTCTCCCACGCAGACATCACCAAGAAACAGCAACCCCCAGGCCTCCCAGGGTCAAGGACCATCAGGAGGGAGGGCTGACTGAACAGGATGGCCAGCATGCTACAACAGGCTCTACAAGGTGGGAGCACTAGACCTGTTTGGGTGACTTATAGGTGGAAATCTGACCCAGGGCCTGTAGACCCCGGCTCGAGTTCAATAAAGATCCTCGAGAGTTTCAGCAGGCGAATAGGGTGCTGCTCCTCCTTCCGCACAGCACCGAGAGCAAGCTCCTGGCAAAGTGGCAAGGCCCACACGAAGAAGTCTGGAGAATCGGTCCACTCGATTACGACGTCCTGTGCCCAGATAAACAAGAAAGAGAAAAGGAGTCATCATGTCAACTGATTGAAAGCCGAGTGGGCACAGGAAGTGGTCTTGACCACCTAGATGGAAGAGGTGTGGACATAATTTTGTCAGATCTGGCAAGGCCCTGGGGACGTGCTCCTGCCAGGTGGCAGGGGAAGACACTACCCTCAGAAGATGACTCAGAAGAGGTCGCCTTCTCTTCGGTGGGGCGAATGTTGCAAGCAGCCTACCATGTCAAGAAAGGACCTGGATGCAGAGTTGAAAAAAGATCCCATGGGATCCGAAGAAGACATCGGCAGGAAAACAGACAGGAGAACAGACCAAATGTGAAAAGCAGCAAAAGAAAACCCACGGGAAATCAATGAATCCTTTGAGCCAGCATCATGGAGTAGCGGGTAAGGCCGCCCCTGCAATGCTGGCATCCCATATGGACACCAGTTCGTGTCCTTGCTGCTCCATTTCTGATCCAGCTCCCTGCTAATTGTCCGAGAAAAGCAGCAGAGAATGGCCCAAGGCCACCCACATGGGAGACCCAAATGAAGCTTCTGGCTGTGGCCTGGCCCTGTGCTGGCCATTGTGGCCATCTGGGGAATAGACCAGAGGATGGAAGAGTTCTCTCTCTGTAACTCTAACTTTCAAATAAATAAATCTTAAAAAAAAAAAAAAAAGACATCAATGAATACTTAACAGATGGGTAAAAAGAAGACCACTAAATGTAGTTGTTGCCCTACTGGTTCAGTATTGAAGGACATGCTTCCACCAAGATAAGAGTTTTGCATTTTGAGAGATGGTCCATATTCTAAACAACTTAGGCCAGGTCTAGCTACATTTTAAACAACTGTCCGCTGTATCACCCATCGTCACCAGAAACCTCAGTATTACACTTTCTCTTACTCAGAGAAGCCCCAGCCGAGACTCAGCCAATAGTTACAAAGGCCAACAACTGTTTCTAAGATCACCTATGCACCCCCTCTCCCCGCCCTGCCCCAAATAGTCCTGCAGTCAGTCACTCTGAGTATGGCCACATGCCAGCTTCGCAACACTGGCATTGGAAAAGGGACTCGGATGACTTTCAGCATATTATTGCAAGGAGAAAAATATATGCAATCTACTCTGTCCCACATTCATGCAAAAATCACCTTACACCTTTATTTCATGAAGCAGACTGTAAAATCTCTCACATATCAATTGCAGGCTTTCATGTCCTTATCTGATAGGAGATTTTACTGAAAAATTAAAGTTTTAATCAATTATTAAGTACTCTCAAACTCAAAAACAAAATTCCCTACTGATTCTCATTATGGAAGTTGTAGATTCGGTTTGATACCCACTTTCTCATTGCTGGTCTCCATGGAGATGAAGAAGGCAATTCCAAAGAACAGAGGTTAGAGCTTCATCCGGTAGGATGTGCCCTGGTGCCCTGAAGCCGATGACTTGAACCTGTCCCTGCTGAGTCATCTGGCTTTTACTTGTCATTGGAGAACTGATTCTCTCACTTTTACTAAGGTGGCCCTTCACCAGAAAAATCAAGGGCAAAGTTTCTTAAGATATGATGGAAAGGATGCACTCTTTAAACATGCTGATTCCTGGGCCTTGCTCCCGTAAAATCTCTGGGTTTGCAGGTGAAAGCCACCGCTCTTGGGCTGCTCTTTCCTGACTGTTCTGTGCTTTATCCAGACCTGAGCTCTTCCCCTGAGATCAGTATGCAGTCCTTCAACAAGTCAACCGTGAACACCCCGTTCAGTAGCCCTGACTTTACCCATCTCACACCTAAGTCCCTCATTCAGGTATGCCCCACAAAAGAGGTCTGACAAAACAATGAGGATGCTGTCTGCAAGGCCAGCATCCCATATGAGCACCGATTCTAATCCAGCCTCCTCTCATGCAGCTGGGAAAGCAGTGGCCAACAGCCCAAGTGCTTGGCAGCCTGCCACTCACATGGGAGACCTGGATGGAGTTCCAGGCTTTTGACTTTGGCCTGGCTCAGCCCCAGCTGTTGCAGCCATTTTGGGAGTGAACCATCAGCTGGAAAATCTCCGTCTCTCTCCACCCCTTCCCTCCACCTCCACTACCCCATAGCTCTGCCTTTCAAATCAAGTTCTTGGATGCATAGATGAGAATACAGAATGCAATGGTGTTATATGCACTACAGAAACAATTTTTTAAAAATCAAATAGTAACCAAAATCTGTGAGAAAACAACTAAGATGCACATTGAACATCTACAAAAAGTGCAAAAAGTGATATTTTCTTGGTCTTTGTTAGCAGGAGTAGACCTTTTTGCTGGGATTGAAAGCAGAGAGCAATGCTATTCCACCTACTCCCAGACCTTAGCCACTTGCATGAGCTCTTCCACCTGCTAACAAAACACTGATACAGGAGGCAAAGTTCCAGACACTGGGAGTGAAAGCGAGCTGCTTTCTTTCATGTTCCCACAGAGAAGACTTTTCCTTAAAGGATCAGATCTGCAGTGACAATGTTACATACACAGCAAAACCCTGAGACCAAATCCTGCTATGGTGGCTACCATCTGGGGGAGGGATCACTCACGGCTCGCTCTGGGGCCATACTTGGAGTGACAGTGTTCTGCAGGTGTATCCGCTCTAAGGACATGGAGAACCTGAAACCTGCTGTACATCTCACTTTCAAGGAGAAGGAAAAGCAGTGTGAACATACCGATGGCGGGCCCTCCTTGCTTCTTCTCCTCCAAGATGGCGGCCAGGTCTCTGGGAGTGGATTTGTGATGCTGACTGGCCAGTGGCTGCTCCAACTCCGGGCTTCTCACTCTTAAAAGCTGATTTGCCTTCTTGATTTTCTGACTGTATTGCCTCGCCATCATAAAAACCCTGCTTTTTGTCCTATCAGGGGCATCCGTGCCAGGCTCGGGGTTTTCTGTGTCTGTTTGGGACAGACTATAGTTGGCCAAGTCATAGGGGTTGTCTGTGGGAGGCACGTCGCTGGCCAGGGATAGCCGGTTCAGACTCATAAAGGAGTCCTCTTTAGAAATGAGGTCCTCTTCGAATGCGTAGTGGGCCCGGCCAGCTCGGATGGCCCTGCCTTGGCTTCCGGGAAGAGACAGCGTAGACGTGGAATGCACCGTGTGCCTGCTCAGCTCCGGGGTGCTCGCGGCGTGCAGCCGATCCTGCACGTCATCGTTGCTCACGGGAAACGCCGCGAGGAGACGGTCTCGAGCTTTGTCTTCGTTTTTCTTGATGTAATTTTCCAGGTCATTCCAGATTTCATCCACCTCTTCGGACAGCTTGTCGGATGCAGCCTTATCTGCGGCAGACAAGCTACAGCTGGGAGAGTTATAGAGCAAGCTCAGATAGTCAGTGTCAGGGGGAGCCTGCTGGTAGGGCGCATCATCCTCGCTCAGCTGGAGGCTGTCCTGGGAAATGAACGGCCGGAGACTCTCGCAGCACGCAAAGTCGGCCTCCAGACCCAGAAACGTGCTCCGCTTGGGACGCTTTAGGCTGCTGCATTTGAAGTTCAGGGCCGGCGGCTCCGGGAGCCCTATCGTGTCATAAATGTTTTCCTCCATCACCTGCAGGTCGTGTGTGCTTTGGTTCGATGGCTCTCGACCTGGGAGAGTCCCCTCCGCTTCGGTGAGCAAAGAGCTCTTACTGTGGCCAGCTTGCCTCTTTGAGAAGGCTAACTCTGGGGTGCTCTTGGGACGAACAGACTCCCTACCTGGCTTAGGGGTCATGGATCCAGCCTCTTCCCGTTTAGCAACCATTAGTTTCAAGTCCTCGTAACTTATGTTATCATAGACATGGTCTATATCGTCAATGGTCAACTCTATCGATGACCCAAAGGGAGTCACCCCCTCCTGCCCTTCTGTTTCGGGGCCACTCTGCAGTTCCCTTCGGGGGCTGTACTGACAGCCATCACTGTCCCTCGTTCTTATCTCCGGGGAGCAGGTGTTGCTCTCCCCGGCACTGCTGGCCCTCCGGACGATCCTGTGCCCGGAGCTGGAAGTCTCTGTGGACTCAATCTGCCCCATGTGCCAGCTGCAAGGGCGACTCGACGTGCTCTCTTCACACAGCCGGGTCGAGTTCAGCTCGGAGGAGGAGAAGGACGGGAGGAACATCTGGTAATCGTCGTCCTCGTCCTCGTTCTCCTGCGGGGACCGGCGGCTGGGAAACAGGGCTTGTCTAATCTGGTGGTCAGTCCAGATGTTTCGGATGGCGCCCCCGCCGCGGAGCACGCTGAGAATGGCAGAACTGCTGGGCTGACTGTTCCTCTGGGCGGGGGACGGCCCTGCTGACGTCAGCCGGGGAGACCCTTCCTCCTGGGAGACCTGGGAAAACAGAGACGCAGCGCTTGAGTCCCAGCGTCCCAGCACCGGGGAGAAGACTCGGGGCTCAGGGACTTCTTACACAGTGCACTTACACCCTACCTCTGACACCAGATCCATACTCTACAATGACGTGGTCAGCAGGCATTATTGACTTTAACTGAGTTAGAAAGCAATTCAGGCTTTTGCAAAAGGAGCAGAAAGGGCAGGAACTAATATTTACTTAGAATCTAGGCAATTTACAGTCTCCAAACTTATTATTTCCCATATTCTCTATGGATTAGATATGATTTTATCAAGTCTGCAGTAAGGAAGGACTTTGTTCAAACTAATTAATGCCAAGCACACACTTTCTGATCAAAATATGATAGTAATCTATTGGAAATGTCAAACTATCACTTGTCAATGAAACAGGGATACATATTGTCATGGAATATTTATCTGCCTATTAGGAAGGGAATAGAGAAGTAGAGGGTAGGGATAATATTTTATCCTACACATTATTTTCTATTCAAACTTAAAAAAATTCATTCTGTAGTCATTTAATCTTTTGGTTTTTTCACACACATATATTAACATATAATATTTATTGCTTCTAGATACATATTTCCCACCTGTTAGTATCTCTTCCTTTTTACCTTACCCCGACTACACTGGTATAATGTTCATAAACATACAGACAACCAGGCCAGTGTTGTGGCACAGCGGGTTAGGCTGCTGCCTACAATGTCAGATCCTATATGGGAGCAACAGTTCAAATGCTGGCAGCTCCGCCTTTTTTTTTTTTTTAATATTGATTGATTGATTGATTTGAGAGGTAGAGTTACAGAAAGTGAGAGAAAGAGACAGAGAGAAAGGTCTTCCATCCGCTGGTTCATTCGCCAGATGGCCGCAACAGCTGGAGCTCAGCGGATCTGAAGCCAGGAGCCAGGAGCTTCATCTGGGTCTCCCATGTGGGTGCAGGGGCCCAAGGACTTGGGCCATCTTCTGCTGCTTTCCCAGGCCACAGCAGAGAGCTGGATTGGAAGAGGAGCAGCCAGGACTAGAAGTGGCACCCATATGGGATGCCAGTGCTGTAGGCAGAGGATTAACCTACTGCATCACAGCGCTGGCCCCATCTCTGCTTCTGATCCAGCTGCCTGCTAATGCTGCTTTCCCCAGGCCATAGGCAGGGGACTGGATAGGAAGTGGAGCCGCTGGGACACAAACTGGAGCCTATATGGGATGCTGATGTTGCAGGTGGTGGCTCAACCTGATGCACCACAATGCCGGCCCCTTGAATCCATGTCTTAATTGACATATTATACATGAGTTTACCTTCTGCTACACACACACACACACACACACACAGGCTCAGGATTTGTATTCAGGGAGAATATAATATTAAGGTATTCACAGCTCTCCTTGATACACATTCAGCCTTCTACTGTTAGGAGGTGGATTTTTTTTTTAACCACTAGAAAGACCACATCGGTGTTTTATTTCCTTCTTGTCTTGAGATTTTATAAGGCTTAGTTAGTCCCCACACAGACTCAGGTGAGCACTGTTGTGGGATGTTCCCAGAAACTCTGGAGATCATATGTCTAGAACTCCTCGATGGAGCCATCCCTCCATTTAGTACTGAGAGGGGTTAGGATGCCTAAAGAGCAGGTGCGTTCTGCACTTAGCCCAATCATGACAACAGAGCAGCTTAAAAAATCAAAATAGCATGGTGCACCTTAGGACAGTGAATCCCTTAATGTTAAGTTTTAAAAGCCTCCAAACAGAAGTATTATTATCTAAAAAAAAAATGCATATGCTCTAGGCCATAGTAATCATTAAAGATAAGACATATTGATATTCAGATGTTTTATTGGTTTTAACTCAAAGATATAGCCTTGATCAACAGGATTGCATAAGCTATGAGGCAAATGGAATTGTAGCAAGAGATTTTGCAGAGCCACATCCTTATTTATATAGAACATAAAACAGGAAGTCACAGTCAGTTTTCCAGGACATAAAAATATGCAGATTGATCAGTAACCATAGTGGACAAACCACTCAGGTAAGATTCAAAGCCAACTTTTCATAGGTCATAAATTTGGATATATGCCTTCCAATAGGATACATCATTCTTATTCTCTCTTTCTCCTAATTTTTTCTCAGGGAAGAAAAAAGCAAAGCTTGACACAGTAAAGTTTCATTTCCTCACATCATCACACCTCTGACCCAGCAGTAGGACTGGATTCTGAGAAGGAAGCTCTTATCCTTGCCCTTGAAGGCCAATGCTTCAAAAAGGGAGCTACACTCAGAAGGCAAAGGCCTTGGGCTCAAGCTGGTGGAGGCCCATTGTGTTAGATCACTAGATGGCTAGTAGCGTGCTGGTATTATGCACCCTCAAGTAAGGTCACAGCTCCTACAGTGTCAATGAATAAACAGTGCCCTTTGGTCTAACAGGAATGGGGTGAAGGAGGAGGTTGGCATGGATGAGTCCTCTCTCAAGGGAAATGTAAATAATTCAAAAGGTAAGCACTTTTCCTAAACACAGAATTTTCCAAATGTACAGTAACTGTTCATCCTTGGAATACAGGTTAGGGATGAGCCATGTAAGAAAAAGGCACTTATGAAGGGGTGATTATAAACAGTCAGAAATGGGATAGGACTTACCTTTTGGATATCTTGAGCTGTTTCTGAAAAAGAAAAGTTTGTTTCAAGGTTGAGAAAAATGTATCTCATCTACAGGCAAGCACTAGTGTTTTTAGAGGATTTATAAACAAATAATTGCTGGACAATAACTAATAAGTAACTAAGCCCAGTGACTTATGGGCCCCTAGATCTACTTTCCAAATATGTTCCTTGATTATTCTCCATTATACAAGGGATCTTCAGAAAGTTCCTGGGATAATACATATTGTGCAACAACTATACATGGATTTCAAATTTTTTTGTACCAAAATAAATTTGTTTGATTCCATTGTCCACGAACTTTTAAAAGTCCCCCCGTATGTTCTCTTCCTATGCATCCAAGGGTCAGCTGCCTCCCTGAATTCCCGAACAATGAAGCATGTCGTGTTCATAAGTTTCTAAAACTCTCAAAAAAAAAAAAAATGAAGTGCTACTTAAAATAACACACATGCCCAAGCCACGAAAACCACAAAGATCAGAATAATTAGACTAGCTTCTCTGGGTTTTTAGATATCTTATTGGTTTTAACTGAAAGATAACAGCTTTTATCAAGAAGTCAGTGGCATTTGCAGTGTGCAAAGGAGTGCTAGAAGTGGAATTGTGAGGAGAAGTTTACACAACCACATTCTTCTAGACACCCTGAGAGATTACAGGTGCCTCTTTTGTAAAAGTTGTTTAATTTCAGGAGCATATAAAGTAATTCCCTCCCCACAAATCCCACCCCAGCGGTACCCATATTTTCAGATGCTGTATTGTCTCCAACCTAACACAATTATGTTTTTGTTTTTAAAATAAAGATGCAATATAAAAGTAATGCTTCCTGTTGAATATATGAGGATACTCTTAATAGAAAGAGGTGCATTTCATTCAACAACTATAGACTATTCCATTGTGTGCATAGATGTACACAACTGCTTTAACCAATTCCCCCTGGGCCAGCATTTCACACAGTATCTCATTACAAATGCTACAAAGACCAACACCCACGTGGATCTGTCCACATGTGGATGAAGACCTCCATGCAAGTGAAACTGTTGGGTCAAACACAAATGTACATTTTAAATTCAAATGGGCATTGCCAAGTTTTGATCCCAAAGCACCATAAAATCCACATCCCCACCAACAGTTTTGTGATGCTGATTTTTCTCTTGTCTTTTGGCCAGGCTATAGCTTTTCTCCTGTCATTTATTTCATTTAAATGTATGTTTATTCTGACTAATAACACAAGCAATCATTTAAAAAATTTATTGCCAATTTGTGTTTCTCTATGCAGTTGCCCAATTATAGTCTTTTTTATAAAGAGATCTTTGTTTCTCTTCTTTTGATATGAGATTTCTTTATATGTTAGGTAGTTAATCTCTATGCCTGTCACTTATTTTGCAAATATTTATGTCATTAGGCTTTACATTTTATGAGATACTTTTATTTGTAGAAGTTAATCTTTGTGTAACCCAATCATGAAATTTGTCCGTCTGTCTAGCATTTATTTTTGTGCATGGTTTGCTTTAGTGGAGAGCAACAGGAACGAGAGAACAACACATATTTTAGGACTTACCACTGGTCTTCAAAACTTTATGTGATCTTGAAGAAGGCTCTGGGAGAAAAAAAAATAAAATATCACTTGGTAAATCACATCAAAGATCTTTTCTCTACAAGGAATTATTGGCTTATTGACAGATTCATTGAACGCTAGAAATTTTCTACCAAATTTACCTAAATCCCCAGCGGCTTGGAGACACTTGGAATGCTGTCAAATGGCAGGATTAGTGTGAAGTTTGCATTCAGGAGTCACATCACAGGAAACCAGACTCCTACTCTACCAATTCCACCACCGGGCAGCAGCTTCCTTAGCTTAACTGCCATGATAGGTCCATATTCCACACCAGATGCCTGTCCCAAGGCTTACTCCGCAAGTGTCCGTCTCAGCCCACCGTTTTCCGGGGAACCCACCCCCTCATCTGCACCTCCTGTCATTAGCATGGACGTCACCCTTCCAAGTTAGAGATCAGAGCATCCTTCCAAATCCCTGCCGGTTTGACGTCACAGTACCGTGGAGCCCCAGGCATGCATTACTGCAGCCGCCACTGTTTCAGTGCGAGCCTTCATCATCTCGCTCCAGACCAGCATGCAGCCTCCCTCCTGCCCACTTCCTCCTCCACGTGGAGCCAGAGCTCTTTCTCTACAATATTCTCACGCTCATTGCTTCACACCCTTCCATAGCTTGCGGGATCCAGGTCAAACCCTACGGCTGGCTTGCTAGGACTTCACGGCCAAGAACTAGTAGCGCATCTCTAGCTATTGCTCTTTCCACTGCACCTTGCCCACCCCCTCAACCATCTGTCCCCTTCACCCCAGGCTCCAGGCAGGCTGAATGACTGCCCTATGATGTGCTGGCTCAGGCCTCAGGGCCTTTGCATGTGCCTTTCCTGCCCTGTTTCCTCAGTGTGCAGTCCATCAACGGTACCGACCCCTGACCCTGTGATGCTTCCGCCCTAGAGGATGAGGCTGCCCTCCGTTTGTCTCTCCACTCTTCCCGCCATCTCCCCCCTTTGCCAGCTCCATCACACAGACTGGATTCACTCCCATCTTTTTGTCTCTCCCACCGCGAGTTCCTTGCAGGCCAGAATCACCTGCATCATTTACCCTTATGTTCCTAGCCCTCAGGTCTAAAGTAAGTGCTCAATAAATTCTGACTCAAATAGAATCAAAACTCAAGGGCTGGGAGAAGCCTTCCTGGAGTGCAGGGTCAGGGTGTCAGGTATGAACGGTCCTCTGGGTGGGTCACTGGCAGCATGCATCATCAACAGCAAGCGGGGTTAAGCATCTGCAGCCGACATAAAGCTGAACACAGCCCAGGTGGCTGACTGCTGTGTTTCTCTGCCCCGAGACATGACGCGCTCAGGTGAGAGTCTTAGGACACAGGCCTGACAGCCCCAAGGTCGAGCCATCTCAGCTGACTGCAAACTCGCGGTGATCTCAAAAGCCGACAGAAGATGCCTATCAGCCTAGAAGGGGTCTTGGCTACGAAGCCCCTGGTGGGATTGAACTTGAACGCCCGCACGCTACTTACCAGATTTCCTTCTCAGCCGATAGGGGGCAGCACCGTCCTTAGCAGTACAGGAAGCTCTGGTCTCCCCGTCCGGGCTGTAGCAGAAGCCAGGGTGGTCTGCAGGACAAGGGTGGGCACAGTGAGCGGAGGTGGTGGGGCCTCGCCCACCGACCGCGCCTTCTGCTGTTTTATGTGTCGGTTCATTCCTTTTCATCACACGTGGATTCAAGTCGCCCCTCACTGAATGTGTAGCTCGGGCCTTTCTGTTGGCTCCAGCAGAGTCACCCTGCCACCCTCCCCTCCCCATTCCCTTCCCTAGGGCCTCAGGACAGGAAGTGCTGTCAATCACCAGCCGGCTTTCCAGACACTGAGTTCCCTTCCTGCCCCCGTGGCTGTCCCCATCCTGTGCTGGTGCCCTTTTATCTTCTCTATTTATTTAAAAGGCAGGAGTGGGAGGGGGGGTAGGGTGGGGGCAGGGGTGGGGGGAGAGAGATAAGAGAGAGAGGGCTTCCATGCACTGGTCCACTCCCCAAACGACCACAACAGCCAGGACTGGGCCAGGTTGAAGCCAGGAGCCAGGAACTCCATCCAGGCCCAATCACTTGGGCCACCCTCCGCTGCTTTTCCAGGCCATTAGCAGGGAGACGGACAGGACGCTGAGTGGCCGGGACTGGAACCAGTGCCCACATGGGACACCGGTGCCGCGGGCAGCGAGTTAACCCGCGGCGCCACAGCGCTGACCCTGTGACTGTAATATTTTCTGAGACGTTCCTGCTTTGAGCGTTTCATGAGAGCTTTGGCTTCTTCGAGCAGAAAAGGAATTTTCACTTAATTTCGTCGACTCTGTGTTTTCCCACCCAAACTAAGGAACACACACACCTTGTGTGAGGAAACTCTGGTCTGGTTCTGAGGTTTGGAAGCTGACTTTGTGACCGTGTGTGTCCTGGAGTTTGCGGGGAATAATCTTAGGACACAGCCATAAACCGGAGCGCCTCAGGTTTGGGGAAGCGGCTGACCGTCAGAGAGAGGGCTCTGAGCATGACCAGGCCACGTACACTTGCCCCGTGTCAGCAACAGGACCAGAAATGAGGCTGAGCCTCTCCTGCTCACTGAGCCCAGGCTGAACTCAAGGCCCGGCAGAGGTGGCCAGTGCACATGTCTGGCAGAAATGCGTGCTGCTCCCACCAGTGGCTTGAGGCTGTTCTGGGCATTGCTGGAATCTTCCTGCATCCAGGCGCCAGCCCAGAGCCTGGGAATAAGCAAGCTATTTGGCGTGGAAGGGAGGAGGCACCAGAGTGGCTGGCTTGTGAGACTCCCCGCCTCCCATGCAAGGGGCACACGCCCACCCACACCCTCACCCTCACTGCAGAGTGTCCTTGGACAAAATCCTACAGCGCGTTCTGCTGAACACGGCTGGGCACGCTCAGAGGAGCACGGTGCCTGACCCCAGCCTGTGCCGTGGTGGCGCTCATGTTTCCACCTGGCCCAGGTTTCTTCCTCCCCTGCACAGTTAGCAGGCGGCCGGCTGGAGGGAAAGGAGGCAGTACTTGCACTTCGGGAGGGCTTCTTCAGAGGTAAGGTGCACTGGGGCTGGAGTTGTGGCGCAGTGGGTAAAGTCGCCGCCTGCGACGCCGGTGTCTCCCGTATCCGACTACTGCTTCCAGTCCCAGCGCTCTGCTTCCAATCCAGCTCCCTGCTAATGTGCCTGGGAAGGTGGAAGATGGCCCAGGTAGTGGGGTCCCTGCACCCACACGGGAGACCTGGATGGAGTTCCAGGCTCCTGACTTTGACCCTGCCCAATGGACATTTGGAAAGTCAACTGGTAGATGGAAGATCTCTCTCTGTCTCTCCCTCCCTCTCTGTTCCTCTGCCTTTCAAACAAACAAACAAACAAACAATAACTAAATCTAAAACCAAGAAGAACACGTGGCTGCCACTGAGTGCCTCAGCGCCACACCAGGAAGAACCACTGTAGAACACCTAGCACTGTGCTAGGAAGGGCTTATGTTGCCTGTCCTATTTATGAAAGCTGTTATTCTCTTTCCATTGACTTTTAAGATAAACTTTACGATGGAAAATGTGATAGACACAGGCACACAATAAAATTCCAAGTTGTGTTAAGGAAGCAACACTTACGAATGGCATCCATTTCAAGGATGGCTTGCTTTGCCTGCAAAAGAGAAAGGGTAGGTGTAATTGCAATGATTTCATTTTCTTCCTTGAGCTACTAATCCTAACACAGATCTTATTCCACTTGAGTAAGTAGATCTTTACAAAGCTTTAAATAGCTCAATCTTAATTCTTTTCGGCAGGAACACACAGCTCAGGAGAGGCAAACAGATGAGAGCGCCCTCAAGTGGACAGTCGAGGCCACACAACAGATGCCCAACTGTGGAAAGGGAGGGAGGGAGGAGGCTGGTTCCCAAGCTTGGCTCATCACTAGCATCGGTTGGGCAGTTATTTACAAAATACAGATTCCTGCTGCCCAACCCCGGTCCACTGAGCCAAAAGATCAAGGCGTGGAGCCTAGCATCCCTACCACCAGCCCCTGCGCCATGTCACCGGGCACCATGAGGGACTGGTTCCAGAAGCACCCTGTGTGTGTCGAGTCCCTTAGAAGTAACGGCGCGATCTTCGCACTGACGCACACATCTCTTGCATGCTTTAACCCAGCTCCAGCTGACCTCCAGCAGCCCATACAACGTACAAGTCAGGTCTGGGGTCGCTATTCTGTTGTTTGGGAAACAACCACAAGGCAAACGTCGGTAGGCGTTCGGCATGGACGCAGCTTTCTGCCTGGATATTTTTCATCTGCGCTCGGCTGACTCGGCAGGTGTGGAGCCCTCAGTCGTGGCGGGCTGGCTGTGACCAGGCTGCTGGATATCTTCTCTCACTGCTCTCTTCCTCCTGAATGCTACCGGCCATCATCAGCTGTCTGTGTCCCCATGTCCCCTGCACCTCTCATCTCTTCTGGGTGCACTGGAATCTCCCAGAGTGGGGAGAAAGAGCTCCTGTGTGGGGCCAGAGCTCTGCAGGGCTCGGTTTCTGCTGCCGGCTCAGGCCCTTGTTCATGTGGGGGCTGTCACACCTCGGGGTGCACTTCCTTAGCTGCACAATGGGACAGTGACATCTGCCTTCCAGCACTGCTCCTAGGACCAAATGATTGGCAGTTCCTCTCCGCCCTCCTAAGGGGCGGTACCTGATACCACCTGACCCCTGTTCCCTACTCCTTCTACTTCTCCCCACCCAAACTCCATCTGCCGAAGCCTGGCGCTCCGGGCTGGCTGCTGGTATTGTCGCCCTAAGTTACTAAGGTTTCGAGGGACACAACAGGGTAAGTTAATTGTCCTAACATGAACCACTTTCCCCAGGATTCCAGGAAGAGAAAAATTAGTTTAGGTAGCCTTTCTTGCCTCTTTAATGTCATTTTCATCTTTCAATGGTACTGCAACTTAACCTACCAACACTATCCTAAAATTATCTTTACAAGTAATTTTAGATTAAGTGGCAATCACACATAGTTTTAAAGGACAAGGGGACAGTCAGCTGACTTTAGAGAAAATAAATGCTTAGATCTTTGTTACACTGTAAGACTTCCAACTGCACAGGATCTGAGATCATTACCAGTTAGTTAATTTCAAGCATACTTGACTGTTTCTGAGAATATTTACAGAACCGTCTTAATATTAGAAAATGCAAAAATACTTTCACTTTTACTCTCAATTAATTTATAAGAATATACACGGTGGACAACACGGCTATTTTCAAGATATTCCCTGCTATCTGTAACCTCTGACATCAAGAACTTGGTATTTTTTTCCTGTAAGATTGGACATTTATTTTTTTAAAAAATTGCTGTTCCCAAGAATTTCCAGTAGGTGTCAGCCAAGGACCATCATTAATTTAAGTGACTAGGAAGAGTGGGTGGAACCAACTACATTTCCAACAGCTGTGTTGACATGCTGTGACTGGTGATGCTTTTTTTGATGCTTAAAATTTCCCACTATGCATTTATTTTATTTCATAGGAATATGTTTTGGAAGCTTTAAGAAATCATCTTGATGACACTGTGGTAAAAAAAAAATGGTTTACATGAAAAGATCTCTGTGAGTGAGACCCCAGTGGAAAGAAGGGGCCATCAAAGAAGGAGGTACCTTTCTCTGAAGGGCGGAGAGAACTTCCACTTTGACTATGACCTTGTCTAAATAAGATCGGAGTTGGTGAACTCAAAAGACTTCCATAGCCTTGGCAACTCATGACAAGAGCCTTGGGTGGTCACTGATGTCATGAATAAGACTGTCAGTTGTTAAATCAACAACAGGAGTCACTGTGCACTTGCTCCCCATGTAGGACCTCTGTCCTTAATGAGTTGTGCTATGAGAATTAACAGCAAAACTCGTCTTCAAACAATTCTTTATTCTTTGAATGTATGTGTGGGTGCAAACTGTTGAAATCTTTACTTAGTATATACTAAGTTGATCTGTAAATAACGATAATTAAAAATGAATCTTAATGAAGAATGGGATGGGAGGAGTAGGACGTGGGACAGGAGTGGGGGTGGGAAGGCAGATATGGGAGGAAGAACCACTATATTCCAAAAGCTATACCTCTGAAACTTATATTTATTAAATAAAAGCTTTCTTAAAAAAAGGAAAGAAATCATATTGATGAAAGATGTGAAAAGTTCAACTTAATCCTGCTTAAAAAAAGATGGAAAATTATTACAGCAGCATAGTGGATAAAGCATATAGAAGGGGTGTTTTTTGTCTGTGGGGTCGGTATGGCCTGGATACCTTCTGGACCAGAGAGATGTAGGTTTGAATCGGGGTTTGGCGTGCACTCGTATAAATGCGGGCAATTTACTTAGTGTCCCTGTGACTGTCATTTCTCTAAAACGGGAAGAGGAAGACCAATTTCACAAGGTGTTTTCCTGAAATGAGAATATAAAGCACGTGGCACAGTGCATATGCACTCAACGAGCTGTAGCTGCAAAAACAACTCACAGATTGGCCAAGGCTGTCACAGAAAGGGGACAGAGCCAGGAACGCACGCACACTGGGCAGGAAGAGGACTGTGAGATGAGGGGTGTCACTTTGTCATCGTCTGCCGGCGCCTTTCAGACTGCTGAGCAGTTGTGATTTTCCCAGGAGACCGGCAGACGACAGGTGGGGCCCAGCAAGGGCACCTGGCTGCCAGCAGCCCCGCGACTCACCACGAAGACAACACAGCCTCCTCGCTGCCTGGGCGCCCTGTGTCTCCCAACGTCCTGAGGAGACTCAGGCTCAAGGCCAAGGCCACACCTGTGACAGTCATTTCCTGAGCGCAGCGTCACTGCTGCCAGCCCCGAGGACCTGAGGACCTGATGCCTTTTCAGGGCAGACAGAGGGCGAGGGAGACTCTGTCCCTTCTCAGGGATCTTGGGCCTCCTGCTCTGCAGAAGGCGACCCCACTTTCTGCGTCACCTTGCTCTTCCCTGCTGGTCATGGCCCACTTCGCCATCCACATGGATAATCCACCCTGATCTCGCCTCTCCCCAGACAACCACCTTTTCCCTTCTCTGAACGTCCCAGAAGGGAAGTCCACCTGCAGCCTGGTCCTCCTGTCCTTTTTCTCTCTCACTCGAGCCACCTGTCCTCACGTCTCAGCCGCCGCATCTGAAATCGTCCTTTCAGAGCCTCACAGTGGCTGGGATGGTTCATCCACTCCCGCTTGCTGGTCCCTGCCTGCCTTCCCCTTCTCAGCGTTCTCTCGTTGCCTCTTCTCCGAGCCGCCCTCTCCCCTGCAGTTCCCACGGGTGTTGGGGCTTCCCAAACGTTTCCTTCCCTTGGCACATACTTGTGGGTCTGCCTGTCAACGCTTAGGGCTTCAATTACCGTCTCTAGGGAGGGGGCCTCCTGATCCGCAGCTCCCAGAACCTGAATTTCCACCTGCAGCCGGCCCCGCCCACCATGGGGCGCAGCAGAGCGGCTCGCCTGCTCTCACTCCCATCTAACCTGCTCCTGCCCCCTCGGCAGCCTGCCTGGGAACCCACAGCCCTGCGCCCTCAGCCCCACCCTGCCTCCCCCTGACGCCTCGTGGGCACCTCTGTGCTGCCTTTGCCTCGGTGGCCTGAGGACGGCGTTGGACTCATTCTCCTCCGGCCTCCAATCTCACTCCTGCAACTTACGTGTCACACAGTGCCCATCCTCTGCCTCCATAACCACTGGTCGCTTCTCCACACCCTGCATCCAGACCCCACGCTGTGCATACCCATGGCTCCCCATGCCCCGCCCCCTGCCGACGGCCTCCGTTCCCACCCCGTGTCCTCCTGCCCAGGCACCAGGAACCCAGGTGCCCAGCCCTTCACTCCTCTCCATGTTGGTTTATGCTGCTCTCTCAGCCCGGGTTTCATTTCTCCCACCCAACAAAGGCGTTCCTCCTCCTCCAAGAATGAGCCCGTAGACCTCGACCCTCCTTTCTTTAGCTGCACAGAACTGAGCTGAACGTGTCTCTTCCCACACACCTGGCTTGCACCTCCGCTGCTTCATCCCGCGGCACGAGCAGTCCACAGCCTCCCCCCGGCACCTGGAACCTCCTTCCCGGCCAAGCTGCATCTCATTTCCCCCGGTTCCTTCCCCAAAAGTGCCCGGTGCATTCTGGAACACACCACTTCCTCCACAGCCGTCACTTCTCTAGATGCTTCCTGACCGGTTTTCCCCCTACTTTTTCTTCTTTCAAGTCCCCAAGAGACAAACACCCATCACAACAGCACCCCTGGCCTCTGACACCCCTGAGCCCTCCTCATCCGCCCTCTCACTGGTCTTTCTTTCCAACCTGAGCATTTCTCGCCCTGAGGCCGCCGGGCAAGGACTGGGCCACTTTCGCCGTTTCTGCTTCCTTGACCTTGCGCTCTTACCTTGGCTGGAATCTTGGCCGCGTGGTTCTCCAGGATCAGCCTCTTCAGGTGCAGAACCCAGAGGCGCTTGTCCTGCTGGGATTTCGCCTATGGGGAGTAGGTTTGGGCGGTCAGACCCCGGCCGCCTCCGCCGCCGTGCCCATGTGCCCGAGGCCGCCCGGTGGCCCTCTGTGAGGGTGGGGTTGGCGGGCACTGCCCTCACCTGCACTGTGTGCTGCAGCTTGGGGTTCTTGTAGTGGAAGACGCTGAAGCTGAGTGGCTCCTTCGGGATCACCTCGACCAGCATGAGGTTGCCACACTGAGCGGAGAGCAGGGAGCCGGTGAGGCGGACCCAGGAGAGGACGCCCCGGCTGCGCCCCCAGGCCCCGCCCACGCCCCGCGGGCCGACCTACCAGGATGTGGGCTTTGTAGGTGAAGGTGTCGTCTCTCTTCTTGGTGATGAGCAGCAGCTTGTCCAGCAGGAAGAGCGTGCGCTCGTTCTTGGCTCGCTGGAGGCGGAAGGTCCCCTCGAGCACTAGCTCCCCGTAGCTCGTCAGGTCCGGGCCCTTCCAGTTGGTGAGCAAACTCTGGATCTCCTGAGGAAGGCAGGGGTCCCTGGGATCACACAGTGGGAAGCGAGGCAGCGAGGCCTCGGCGGCCCATCTGTGGAGCCTCCAGCATGGTGACCCGAGGTCTGCCACACGGTTGGAGGATCTAGGTGGGAGCAAAGGGCGGCCAGGGGTCTACGACTTAAACCTGGCTTTATGGGAAGGGCCCTGGGAGAAAGGCGGCCAGTTGGTAGTGGATGGCTTCCAATTACACACTTCTTTTTTTATTTTTTATTTTTTGAGAGGCAGAGTTCATGAGAGAGTGAGAGAGAAAGAGAGAGAGAGAGAGAGTGAGAGAGTGTGTGTGTGTGTGTGTGTGTGTGTGTAAGGTCTTCCTTCTGTTAGTTCACCCCCCAAATGGCTGCTACGGCCAGCGCTGTGCCGATCCAAAGCCAGGAGCCAGGTGCTTCCTCCTGGTCTCCCATGCAGGTGCAGGGCCCAAGGACTTGGGCCATCCTCCACTGCCCTCCCAGGCCACAGCAGAGAGCTGGCCTGGAAGAGGAGCAACTGGGACAGAATCCGGCACTCCAACCGGCACTAGAACCCTGTGTACCAGCACCACAGGCGGGGGATTAGCCTAGTGAGCCACGGCGCTGGCCCCAATTACACACTTCTGTGCCAACAGTCCCTGTGCCGGGGCTGGCAGTGACCATGGCCTCCTTCCAGAGCCAGGCAGAGGGGCCCCTCGGGTGGGCATTCTTCCCTGGAAGAGGGGCGTGCACCCTCCTCTCTGGGACTTAGTGTGCATCACTGTCTACATTTTTAAGGGAGCCTGATTTCATTTTGAAAACTGAAAATATTCACAAGCAGACAATGAAACACTTCACTGGTTGAAAATAGAAATGAATAGCAATGGAGAAGCATTTGAGCCAGAGTCTGCCCTAGGCGCTGCAGAACGCTGAGCAAAGTCACACACAGCACAGACAACCATTCCCAAACATGCCACAGACATCTGACGTCATGTCTGCAAAACACTCGAATGATTAAGCATTGAACACTCTGTTAACTGCAGAAGTTAGACACAGCCTGGGAGATTAGGATGTTGTCTAATATTTATAATATTAAATATATACTTATAAAGGATTTATAACATATATTTATGCTTTATGAATATTTTTACTTTGAGAGGGAGGGAGGGAGGGAGGGAGGGAGAGAGAGAGATAGCTCCATCTGCTGGTTCACTCCCCAAAAGCCTGCAATGGCTCAAGCTGGGCTTGGCAGAAGTGGGGCACTGGGAACTCAATCCAGGTCTCCCACATGGGTGGCAGGAGCCCAAATGCTTGAGTCATCGCTGCTGCTTCCGAGGGGGTTTGTGTTTTAGGAAGCTGGAGCCATGAGCCACGGTCAGATGTTAAACCCAGACTCTCCAGTGTGGGACAAACGCATCTCAACTGGCATCTGAGGGGACAGACTAACACCTGCTCCCACGCCCTTTTAAAATTACACTCACACACAGTTTCGTAAGTGTGAGAGGCAGAGAGACAGCAGGGGTGTGGGAAGCTCCCATCTACTCGTTCACTTTTTAAATGCCCACAATGGCCATCGCTGGGCCAAGCTGAAGCTGGAAGGCAGGAGCTCAATCCAGGGCCCCCAGGTGGCTGGCAGGGACCCAGCTACTTGAGCCATTATGTGCAGCCTCCCAGAATGTACATTAGCAGGAGGCTGAAATGAGAAGTTGAGTAAGAACTCCAATACAAGCTCTCCAACGTGGGATGTGGGTGTCTTCAGTGCCAGACCAGGTGGCCAGCCTGAGCGGCCTTGACACTTGATTAGATAATCGTAACATGCGATGCACCTGCAGTGCTGCTGGGCGCAGCGTCTCAGGCTCACCTGCAGCCGCACTGCGTGCTCATGCTTCCGCTTCATGTCGTTGATGTGCCAGGCTACGCGCTGCATTGTGTCTATGGCATCCAGCACCACGTCGTAGCCTTCCGTGTCCTTGTCAAGGTGATTTTCTATTTCCTTAAAACAACACACAACAAACTAGCTCTCTTCCATTTTCTCTTATACAGCCAGTGAAACAAAAGACACATCTATGATTAGATTCTTATAATTTAATTTTGTTACTTATTATGTACTATCATCATTCTTTAAGACTTTCATGTAACTTATCAGAAACACCTGTAGCAAAATTGTAAGTTAAGAATAAAAAAGACGTATTTATTTATCTGAAAGGCAGAGGAGAGAGCGAAAAGAAGGAGAAAAAGCCCTTCTATCTACTGACTCCCCAAATGGCAATGCCTTGGGATTGGCCAGGCTGAAGCCAGGAGCCTGGAACTTTATCCACGTCTTGCACGTGGGTGCAGGAGACCAAGGACTTGGGCCATCTTCCGCTGCTTTCCCAGGTGCATTAGCAGAGAGCTGGATTGGAAGTGGAGCAGCTGGGACACTAACTGGTGACCACATGGGATGCTGACACGGAGACAGCACCTTCATCCACTGTACCACAACTCCAGCTCCCTAAAAATTGGCCTTACAGCTCAGAGTTCAGAGCTTCCTGGTAGTCAATGTAATCTGAGGGGTCTTCAAAAAGTTCATGTACAATTTATACTATAAAAAACTATGCACTCAAATTTTCATTGCACTCAAATAAACTTATCTTTTAACTCCATTTTCCATGAACTTCTGAAGTCCCTTCATATAGCTCTCCATACTGTAATTTCAGATTTTTTTTGTAATTCTGACTCTTATAAGATGAAAAGCATACTTTTTTTCCTTCCACAGGAAGAAAATGTCTCTCCAGGACTTAATATGTTACAGATTAAAAAGTACAGTAGACAGCTTTTTAGAAATCCCTCTATAGAGGGTGCATTTTCGGGTAGTCAAGGTTTTAACATACAAGTGAAGTTCACTAAGAGAGTCCTTCAATGTGCTGAGACAGATCACATGGGGAGGCACTCAGTTCTCTGAGCACCAGACGTCTGCTACATTTGCACGGTCTTAGCACTTGAGTCCCACAATCCTGGGGAGATAAGTGAGTGACACAGTCTCTGTCCTAATTCTTTTGAGCACATGAGATGTCTGGCCCGACTCCCCAAGAGTCTATGGATAGAGATTACTGTTCTTTTTGGTTATCTTCTCCCCATCCCCTAACAGAGTACTGGTTAATACATGCTTATGAAATCGAAGCTCTACCTTCTTAAAAACAAGAATAACAGTAATCCTAAATAAGTATCAAAAGCAGTATTCAAAAATAATCATCAGGGAGCCAGCACCGTGGCTCACTTGGTTAATCCTCTGCCTGGGCACCGGTTCTAGTCCCGGTTGCTCCTCTTCCAGGCCAGCTCTCTGCTGTGGCCCGGGAAGGCAGTGGAGGATGGCCCAAGTGCTTGGGCCTTTGCACCCACATGGGAGACCAGGGAGAAGCACCTGGCTCCTGGCTTTGGATCTGCGCAGTGCTGGCTAGCAGCCATTTGGAGAGTGAACCAATAGAAGGAAGACCTTTCTCTCTGTCTCACTGTCTATAAAAAAATCTTTTTAAAAAATAATCATCAGATCATTTCAATGACATTTATCATCCATAACCAGGTAGCTGTCAAATGTTGAACCAATGGCAGATCAGCTCCATCACCTTATCGTAATACTTTGTAAATCTTTACTGAGTACTCAAATAGGAATTTACATTCTTCTTTCTGTATTTAAACTCAGTTATAAAAAGGTCCATGAACTCACTTAAACTCATAACTCTTAGTTAAGTACAAGATTCACAGGAAAAAGTTTTTTAAAAAATATTAATTTCTTCTTTCAATCTACAAGGTGATTCTGTCCATCAATAAACAGACCGAGAAGGAAGGAGGATATTCCTTAGGGAGCTTCATGGTGGTTATCCAACTTTGAAATAATGCATACAACAGAGAGGGAACTTTCAAAGTCAACTATAAAAGCAAAAATACTTCAAAGGTGACCAGAAGTTAGTTTTGGATGAGCCCAGGCCCTCTTCTTTCCTTCTGTCTCTGTTGCCGGCTCTTAATTGAGAGCATAAGAGCCCTCTTTCCTATTAGTTGACTTTTTGTAAGACGCTTGATGTGTCCTCTCACAAGATCAACCACCTGAGATCACAGACTTTTGATTGGCAGCCACCCTACTGTCTAGAAGACGATGATTAGATAATGTCGGGACACTCTAGTCGTAGTCAACAGAGTTCAGTCAAGATTTGTCCCAGGATAGCCACTATTGATTTAAGAATGATTTGGACACCAATCTAGCAAATTAATCCCCACTAAACCCCAGAGGTCATTAGGATCAATGGAAAAAATAAAGAACACCCCTGGTGTGGCTTCACAGAATACAAGATTCTCCAACAATGAGTCATCCAGGCAAACAGAAAAGCTATGAAATTTCTGGGAAAGCTGGACTGAAAAAGTTCTTCACTTTTACATGCGTCAGCTACACAAACCTGGGAATGGTTATCCAAGTTAGAAACCTGGAATCTTGGTAGGAAGAAAATCCCCACATGTTGCAGGCATGTTGGCACAGCGGGGAGCTCTGGATTAAAATCCCTTTAAGAAGGGATTTTTTTTTATGTGGGATAAAATTAATAAAACAAAAACAGCTTATTTTTACTGAGTTCCAGTAAGCTACAGTGTATGCGGGAAAGTTCTAGGATTTGGACGCGCACAGCCCTGTTCCTAACCATGCAGGTACACCGCCTTCCTCCGGTCACAAAGGTTAGCAAATCTTACAGAGTGCAAGTAATCTTTAAAGCAACTTCCTGGGAGGATAAGAAACAACACCTGGAGGGCACTGTCTTTGTTTCTAAGGTCTCCATGCATTTTGTGCAAGTCCTGAGAGATGGTATAAAAAGATACAGGATACGGCTCAGCCCAGACATCATTCTCATGGTGCACATGTCCTCTCTGTCTTCAGCCCCTTCCCCTTGCTCTCAGACAACAGCCAACACAGGACAAACAGCTTTCTCTCCCAGCTGAGTTGGGGCTCATGGAAATAAGACATTAACAAAACCCCTTGTTCACTGAGGTGATAGCTCCCTGCCCGAAACAGTCACTGCCTAGTTTGTGGTGCTCCCAACCCCTATCAGCATCAGAGCTAAACTTCATCTTTTTACTTGGCTATTGTCAATGGGGCTGCAGGCTTGCAATATAAATATCTCTAAATCCTCAAAGCAGATCAGTCGGTTGTAAAGTAAGAGGATGGAAAACACGTCCATATGTCCGAAGCCTCTTCTGGTATCCCCCACCCTCCCCATGTTAATACAGAAACACAGAACCTGCAGCCCTGGGAGCGCACCAGTGCAGGCAGCTACTCACATGCAAAAGGAGGTGATACTTGAGAATCCGCTGCACTGGCTTCAGGAGATAGGACCCCAAAGGCAGGGAGTGTCTCAGGCTTTCCTGACGTTCCCGGAAGAATTTAGCCAAGGTCTTATTCCGCATGCATTCTGTCAGCACAGCCACGGATCTGCAGGAAGAGCCAATGATTTTAATCCAAATTGTGTACATGAGTATTTGAGTCTTTTTTTTTTATTTAAAATTTTTATTGACTTACTTGAAGGGCAGAGAAAGAGAGGGAGAGGAAGAGGGAGAAAGAAGGCGAGCGAGCGAGCGAGAGAAAACAGAGACACAGAGAGATCTCCATCTGCTGACTCATTCCCCAAATGGCCACAACATCGAGGACTTAGCCCGCTCAAAGCCAGGAGCCCGGGAATCAGTCTGGATCTTCCAAGTGGGTGGCAGGGACTGAACACTTAAGCCATCATCTGCTGCCTCCCAGGACGCACATGAGCAGGGAACTGGACTTGGAAGTGGAGCCTGGACTAGAATCCAGACACTCTGGTACAAGTGTCCCAAGCAGTACACTAATCAATGCACCAAACGTCTGCCCAGCATTTGAGTTCTAAACACTGGTGTCAGCGCACATGCACTCAGAGGAGTAGGGGAGCCATGGAGCTATAGCCTGACCAGAACTCCTTTGGGCAAATTAGGAAAAGGAGTCCCTTTGGGTGGGTGAATTAGGAAAGGCACTGTATCAGGCACAGCAGTGCTGGGCACCTGGGACTTCTAAGCAGCAAGCTCCTCTCTTCTGGATTTGCAACACAGGTCTCTTGGCTTGGCAAAGGGGATTTGGTTTAGATTTTAGCCCCAGTTTCATCCCATCAGGGCGTCTTTGTGCAGTGCCTATCCTGTGCATCTGTACTCAGTTTCTACAGGCTGGATTATAAGAAGCAGACATCTTTATGCTAAGACACAAAGAGTTCCCATGGTGGCTGTTTGGGATTAAGACACCGCTTGGGATGCCAGCATCCCACATCAGAGTGCCTCGGTTACAGTCCACCTCCGCCAATTCCAGCTTCCTGCTAATGTGCACCCTGCGAGGCAACAGGTGATGGCTCAAGTACTCGGGCCCCAGCCACACACATGGGAGGCCTGGATGGAGCTCCTGGCTCCTCTTAGCTTTGACCTTGCCCGGTCCAGCCAGCTTTTCAACATGAATGAGTGAATGGACAAATGAACGAGTAAACAAATGAATAAACAGAAAAGGGAGTTTCTTCTTGCCAGGAGGTTCAGCCTCTGCCACCCCACTGCCACCCCCTCCAATGGTCACCTTTATATAAGGCACAACCTGTGGGACTATGTGTGATGTCCCCCTTCCTTTGAGAGCTCTTCCCATGCTTGACTTCTCTTTGGGAATCTCTTTTCTTGTTTTTAAATGTTTACTTATTTATTTATTTGAAAGGCAGAGTTAAAGAGATGGAATGACACAGAGAGAGAGCACGCGCGCGTCTCCATCTACTGGTTCATTCCCCAAATAGCTAGCTGCAATGACTAGGACTGGGCCAGACCAAAGTTAGGAGCTTCCTCTGGGTCTCTTACGTGGGTGGCAGGGGCCCAAGCACTTGGGCCATCTGCTGCTGCTTTCTCAGGTGCATTAGAGGGAGCTGGATTCTAAGTGGAGCAGCCAGGACTCGAACCAGCACCCGTATGGGATGTCACAGCAGAGACTTAAGTTGCTGCGCCACAAGGCTGGCCCAGCCCTCTGGGAACCTTTGAGCAGATCCCCTTCTCTGCCTGCTCGGAGTGCTTCTCCTCATTCTAAACAGAGTTTCTGAGACGGCCGGATGGGGAGCGCCTTGCTGAGAGGTCAGCAAAGGGGCTAGAATTCCTCCTCCAGCTGGGTTCCCACAGAGATCAAGTGCACAGCCCCGAAGCATCCTGAGGGAATGCTTGAAACAAGGCTTAGATCACACGCACGGAGCAAGCTAACGTGTGTCATCACACACACAGTAAAATCCTGTGGCCTTGTAACTTGGAAGAAAACAGGCAGAAATAATTTCAGACCTTTCCCTCTCCAAATCACTAATAATGTTTGCAGGATTCATTGAGAAAAATCAGGTAGAGCTAAACAACAAAAATATGCCTCCTTGGTGGGAAGAGAAATGAAGTCTCATAACTAAGTCATCAGAATTCCTTTTATGGGGGTTACATCCCATAGGAGCACCTGATCACTTCTGATTCAGCTCCCTGCTGATGTGCCTGGGAAGGTAGCAGAAAATGGCCCAAGTGCTTGGGTCTCTGTCACCCACGTGGAGACCCAGATGGAGTTCCTGACCCCTGCCTTCAGCCTGGCACAGCCCTTGCTGTTGTAGCCATTTGGGGAGTGAACCAGTGGGTGGTAGTGACCTCTCTCTCTCTCTCTTTCTCTCTCTCGTCTCTCCCTTCCTCTTTGTAACTCTACCTTTCAAATAAATAAATAAAAAGTCTTACAAAAAAAGGAAAAATGAATTCCTTTTGGGTCCGACACTTTGAGAAGTATCTGTACAAACTCATGCCCTTTCCCCTGGAGTCGGCATTCCAAAGCTCTCCCTCATCCTGCCCATGAGCCCCGCTAAGGTTCTGTACAGTCAGAACTGGCTGCCCTGTAGCTTCCTGGCCATCTAAGGGCTGCAGCTCTTGCTCAAAAATAAGAACCATGAGCACACTGTGCTCCAGGCTTCCTGGGCGGGCACCTGAGGACAATGGCCTGCTTGCTGTGCTTGTGTCACTCCGGGTGGGGGAACGAGAGGGGAGGGGCATGTACCTGTCACAGCAAAGTCACTGGGGCGTGACTGGTGTGAAGAAAGTGGACACTTGAAGATGTGTGGGTGACACTCAGTATCACAGCCTGGATCCCAAGAGGGAAGGAGGATTGTCAGATGGGCTGGGACACCTGGCGCTCGTGGGTGGTTACGGCGGGGACTTGGAGGAACACAGCACAGGAGAGCAAATCCACTGGAGGGGAGGGGCTGAGGGGAAATGCGATAACTCTATGCACAGAAGAGCCTTGGTCCCAGGGCACCCTTCTGAGCACCTGTCTGCTAACAATGCCTCTTCAGAGCCAGACGCAAAACAAGACTTGCGCCAGGGAGCGGCCCTGAATGGTGCTCCCTGGCCTCACTGCTCCTCTTCTCAAGCATCTTGCATTTCCGTCATATATAAGCATATAAGACAGCCAGCTTGGTTTTGTACTTCCCTAGTAAACCAGAAAACCTGGATATGCAACTTTGTAAGCTTATATGAAGAAGTCCTTTCTTCAAAAAGTGTGATAAGTTTATAAGGAACTGTGCACAGACACAATCTACCCAAAGAAGCCCATCTATTCGTTTAGATCAGAAATTTTCTTTTAGCTCTCAGATGTTGCAAACGTTCAGTTCAACATTTTGTATTTGTAGCATTTAACACAGTGTTCAGGGGTCAGTGAGAGCCGAGTACATATCTTTTTTGGAGAAAAGAGGAATGCCTATAGCTGTGGCCCGTGGTCTGAGGCCATTAAGCCCTTTACTGAAATGATAACTATTTTGTGCAGGGAACTCCCTACGCAGTCCTCTGCTCTCGCCCAGCAGAATCAGCGACCTGTGGAGATGAGGAACCCCTTGCCTCATTGTGGCGTATCAAGATCTGCCTTCCCCTGAACTCCACAAAACTTACAGGGTTCATAAAACCCACAGAGCAAGAACAGAACATCTTTTCTCCCCAGCTAGGGTACGGGTGTTTAAATCCACAGCAGTGCTTCCCAACTGTAGAAACACGGTGCAACAGGACACGGTAGGAGACAAGGCTTACAGTCAGGTGCAACTCTGTAGACACTAGGGAGCCTTTTCAGTCTCTTTTAACAATTTTTCCCTGCACTGGCTCTGCAGGGATCCTTGAGACCCAAAGGAGTCTATCAACACCTGGGTTTCCCTGTAATCTGTTCTCAGTGAGGTTTGCGTTTTCCCTTAGCATTCCACACAGTGGTAGGCACAGGACGCCCAACACACACGCACATCAGACCAATTGGAGGCACAAGTACTCCTGCTCCTACTGGATCCATACCTTGGATAGTTAGTGCAATACTGGGTGTATATGTGGAACTCTTCACTCTGTAATTAAACAAGAGAAATTTTTATAGGCAAGAAAAAAAAAGCACAGACATAAATAATCATTTAAAAATAATATAAAGAAATAGCATTCGGGCCTTTACTCACACTGGCCTGTCTCCTGAGTGCCTAGCGCCATCACCTACCTTGCTTTATACCTACAATTCACGTACACTTGACCTCATGTGAGTCCAGTACTCACATGAGCACCTGCTGTGTTGCACTGAGCCTGATGACATGGGAGGATCAAAATAAAGTTTCTATCTCCGGGTGCTCCTGGTTCTCTGGTGGAGGTGCAGTGTGGGAGGGGAACAGGAGTGAGATAATATCATGTGGAGAGGATGTGCTGGGGGTATGCACAGGCATGAGAAAGCTCCCACACACTTTCAAGACCCTTCATGCTGGATTCATATCTGATGCTGAAAGAGTGCATATTTTTAAGGTAATTTGTGTATTTTTTCATATTCAAAAGGAATTTTTGCTTAAAATCCTTCCCATTAAATTCAACTAGGATTAGGTTAAACAAGTTATGTTACTATGGAAAGTTTCAAACACACAGCTGGACAGATATATACTTATGCAAACGTATATAAATGTATGCATGTAAGTAGGGAGGAGGGGGTAATAAATTGCCAAGTATCCATCATCCAACCTCAGTAATCCACTCACTGGCTGCATCCTACCTACTCTCCTGCCTCCCCATCATTCTGCAGCCAATTCTAGACATCTTATCACTTCACCTCTAACTACATCGGCATGTCTCTCCAAAACAAGGACTTTAAAGAAAAGCATCGCCACAATGCCATTATCACACTTAAATCATTCCATAATACCCTTCTAGATCACCTTTGCTGTTCTTACTTCCTTTAAAATTTTTTTTTCCCTTTTCCAGTTTGCATATTTGGTTTGCAACCCAAATAAAGTCCCGCGCAACAACTGGTTGGTCTCTCTTAGTTGCTTTATTTTTTTTTAAGGTTTACTTATTTGAGAGGCAGAGTTACAGACAGAGGGAGGGAGAGGCCTTCTATCCTCTGGTTCACTCCCCAAATGGCTGCAATAGCCAGAGCTGGGCCAATCCAAAGCCAGGAGCCAGGAGCTTCTTCCCAGTCTCCCACGTGGTGCAGGGGCCGAAGCACTTGGGCCATCTTCTACTGCTTTCCCAGGTCATCAGCAGGGAGCTGGATTGGAAATGGGAGCAGCTAGGACTTGAACCAGTGCCTATCTGGGATGCAGGAGCTGCAGACAGAAGCTCAGCCTACTACACCACAATGCCAGTCCCTCTGTTGGCTGCTTGAATGTTGAGTTCTCTCTCACTTCTCCCTTTGCACATTCCTTGTTGAAGAAACCAGATTGTTTTTCCTGCAGGGTCACAGCCTTGAGATTGCAGATGTCCATCCCGGGGCTCCCTTGAACTTGCCCTGTCTGCTATCCTACTGTGGTTTACTAGAAGATTGATCGGATTTGGGTTCCACAAATTCACCGCAGGTTGAAGCGCACCTCCTTCTAGAGGAACACGCATCTGGCTGCCTGTTTTTCTGTGATGCTCGCAAACACTGGTACTTATTACCTCAACCTGTTAGTTCATGAGGGGCTTCACACTGGGGATATTTCTACTTCGTTATTCCTTCTTTATTAGTCAGGATCTTTCCAAAAAAAGGAACTCCCTTAAATTAACTAACGGTTACTTTGCAGATATGGTCTATAGGGGAAAGGCAGGGGAAATGTTGGACCCTTTCCCTTACTTTTCAAAATCATGCATCCATTTTCTACTAAGATGACCAGCTTGGGTTTTTTTCCCCATATTAATGCAAATTCATGAATGTGAACCTATTTATTAGCAAGTTGCAGCTGCTTTCAGTCAATTATCTTCCCCGGTGCCCCGTTACTTCATCTTTGGCAAGAAGCTTCCTGCTGAGCATGCCTGGCTGGACCTGTCCGCTTCAGTAGCTCCTCACTTTCTGGTGTGGTGAGATGTGTTCCAGACCTCCCTGCGTGTTTCCCACCCGCACTCCCTCTTCCGGAGCTCTCATTCCTTTTGATAGGAAATCGTATCTGGAGACCACGTTGGGGCAGTAGAGATGTTCTGGCTACCAGGAGGATCACTTCTAGGCTTTCTCAGTGGACAGAGTTAGGAATTCAGTATTCTTTTTTTAGGAATAAAGTACATCTTCAGTTCATACTAATATTTATAATTCAGATTCAGGGTGACTGCATTTTTAATGAGCCTCAATCATACTTATGTCTGTATTTTCTTTCTCCTTCCAATTCTGGCTCTCAGTGGCACTGACATAAATACTTCTTTGCTTTCTTCTATGACACACTCAATAATTTCAGAATAACAATAGCAACACCACCATAAATAGTATCATTACTAAAACAGTTAACTACGTATTTGCTGTATCTCATCCATAGCATTCTCATTTTTTCAAATCAGTTGGAATTTCCCTTGGTGTGGTTAGCCTCCATTTGGGACATAATTCATTTCATTTTTTTTTCCATTTTGCTTTCAATTTTTGGAGGCTGATTTTTAAATCTTTGCTTTTATTTTACAATTATATAAAATGAGTACATCAATTGCTTCTAACTCAATTCTACATAGAAATCTGTATCAAAGAAGTCTGATCCCTATTCTTTGGCATTCTACTCAATTTCCTCCCTTCTCCTATCAGCAACCAACTTTTAATCTTACAGGCTGTCCTTTATTAAAAAACAGGCATATCCTCTTCCCTAGGTAAATAAATCACGCTATACCCACGATTTCCAATTACCTGGAAGGCTTGTTACAACAGCTTGCTGGCTCCCGTTACCGGTTTCTGACTTGAGAGGTCTGCAGTAGGACCTGAGATTTTGTGTTTCTAACAAGTGGCCAGGTGAGGCTGAAGCTGCAGGTCTAGGCACCCCACTTTTAGAAGCACAGGGCTACACATTATTGTACCCACTCTCCTTCCACACTCCCCCCTGCTGTGTAGAGATATATATCTACTTTTACTGCTCCGAAGCACTCCATTCTATGGATATACTATCACTTATTCAACCAGCTTCTTGATTAAGGACATGTGGGCTGTCTCTAGTCTTTTGTAGTAACAGATTCTATGGCAAAGAATGGCATCCTACTTATTGGATTTTAGTCTCTGTGTCCTTGGAATGGACTAGCGACTGCAGAATTGCTGGGGGAAGGGTAAATCCAGAGGCCAGATGTAGCCAAATTCTCCCCATAGGGCCTTTTTCCATTTTGTCTCCCACAGCCGGGAGAGCATCTCCCTTACCCTCACCAGTATATGAAGCGCAGTACCATGTTTTCCAGCATAGTTGGTTCAAAAATCTAAATTAGCTGCCAACTACTACTAGTCAGAGGGTGTAAATATCTTGATCTCTGACTTCTGAAAGAGCATACAATCCATCCTCTGAGACCAGGCAAGCATCTCACTGCCATCGCCTCCACCTGGGCCCCTCCATGCACTGAGTTCACCTGCTGGTGCCTGAAAGCAGCGCTGGCTCCACAGAGGAGAAAGGCAAAGCGACTCGCCCGAGGTCTTGCAGTAAGCAAACAGCAGACCGGAGCTTTCCCTGGATCTGCTCACAATCCCTGAGTGTCTTCCAGCTTCTTTCCTGCCTCCTGCCCCACTCATCCTGGGATTGAACAATACCAGCCTGACTTTCCTGACCTTTTGAGACCCTTAAGAGCATTTGACATGCCACATTAAAAAACGACACCAATGAAAATAAACTTCAATTGCATCATATGATTTATGGACACATATAACAGTCCTCATTAAACCCCAAGACCTCTGCATAGTTGAATTTCCAGGCATTTTGGGACATCATAGCTCTTGTGTCTATACCTATCTTAAATGAGCAGGTTTTGATTTAAATCAGCTACAGATTCTTAACATAGAATCAAATGCAAGTTTGATCTTATATTTGTAAAGTTCTGCGGACCTTAACAAACAATGGTTTTACACAAAACATCAACAGCCCCTAGGCAGTTAGAACTTAAATGCCATTAGTCATTATACTTTATTATATATGCTGCCCTAAATTCTTTTTAGCGAGACTCAAGAGAACATATTATACAAACGTGTACAAAGTATTAAAAAATAGAGGTTCCCTGGTGGCTAGTCAACTCTTTTGCATTGTAAATGAGAGATGATGTAGAAATGAACCGAGAGTGCTAGGGCACTGAAATAGTTAAATGTTTATCGAATGGGTAACCAGGGTGAATAAATCTACCTGATTTTAGGGTTTCTTCTGCCCCAAGGTCTCCTCCTCCCTCCTCTCACACTCTCAGATTCCTAAGGGGCTTCCACATCAGCCCTGCTCAAGAGGAATGGGTGTGGGAGTGGAGGGGGGGGGGAAGGCAGGCAAGGAGAGGTCCTTCCAGGTGTTCCCTGGGAGACGGCTTGGGCTGCCCTGAAGGGAACTTTCATTTCTGTCCCTCTAGAGTATGTCAACTCCTTATTCTGTGAGCGGAGGTGAGAAGCAGCTGTATTCTCTCCGCGGTAAGGGTTCCTTTAACCTCCACATACCACAGAGCAAGCAAGGTCAAAGACGAATCTGTGTGTAAGCCCCGGCGATGCCCCGGCGATTCAGATAACAGCAGAAGTCAACAGCCAGCTCTCCCTCTTTCATTAATGGCCTCTCAATTAAAGCAATTTTCCACCCCTCCCCAGAGGGGAGCAGCTGGTGGTGTTTCAGAGAAGGTAACATCTCCTAAATTTCAGGGCGCTGAGTGAGAAGCAGGTCGTGCCAGAGCCCAGCACTCCCTCCCAATTCCCTGCTTCCCTGTGAAAGCGTGGAGTGCTGAGGTCAGCCTTCTAATTAAACTTGGCAAGATTACAATGAAAAATGAGATTTGGGAGTTGGCAGCGGGGCCCATAAACAAACTTTTATGTGAATAATTAAGCCAGTGCTGAGCGTATGCTGGAACGTCTTTAATCAACTGGCGATTACACTTACCAGTAAAAGCCCAGACATTTCCGAGAGCTTCTGTGTTGTTTATGCACTGTGGTTATTCCAACGTATCTTCTCTGAGACACTCAGCATATCTTTTGACCCATTTCTCCTCCTTTTATTTTCTTTCTCTTTTCCAAACCCATACTACCCTTCAGGAGAATCATCTGTGGGGCAGGCAACTTGTGAAAAGAACGGAGTGTGCAAGCATGTGTGCACATTTTACACGCTAACGTGCTCCCCGCAGCCAAGTCAGGGCAGTTTTATGTACAAGCCCATCACTGCCTTAAGGAACTTCAATAGAACCCAGGCTGTTATGTTTGGATGTGAAGGCATCCGGATGGGTCTACAGCGGTCAGCAGCGACTCTGTGCAGTGAGTCTATAGCCAGGACAGGCTGGCTGACATCTCCCAGGGACACCAGGCCTCTAAACGAGGTGCTAATTCTCCCTTGGTCCCAAAGCACCACCTTGAACTTTGCTTAAACCTTTGTGCATTTCAAGCCTTGACACAACTGCAGAAACTATAGGAACTTGTGTTGCAAAACAATTTCTGCTAGAGATTTTCCAAATGGAAACTATTGTATTTTTAAGAGACTGAAACACGTAAGATTCTATACATGAGGGGACTGAAAAACTTCATGGAAATGGAATTCAAAGTTTATTTTGATGCAAAAAAATTTGAAATCCGTGCACGGTTTTCCATGAGTCACATTTCCCACCAACCTTTGAAGACCCTTTCATATGCATGGATTTCAATTTTTTTTTTTTTTGCGCCAAAGTAAACTTATTTCCAACTTCATTTTCCATGAAGCTTTTGAAGTACTGCTGTATCAGAGAACAAGGTAGAATGTCGAGAAGTCAAGGATTGCCACAATGTTGCAGAATGTCTCTCTTCCAGGAATTCAAAGTAGAAACCACTGCCCTTTGAGCTTTAAGTCAAACCTGTTCCTTGTATTTTTCTGAACCATCAATGCAGCTGAAAGGTAGGGAAATGAGAGTACATTTTTAGGACGTAGGAAATTCTGCTCCCTTATATTCCCTAAAAGATACATAGATGGGCTTGTGCCACAAATATGATATATAAACTATCTGGATGTGAATGGATTCGCATAACTGAGTTAGCATGGTACTTTATGGGTATTTATTTTTCTAACATTCTTCTCTACTCTGCTCTCCCACCGTTCAAGTTTTTCCTAGGAAAGAGTAACGTCACTCAGTAACTATACAAGTTCTAGGACAACGACCAAGTTAGCATCTCCCTCTCCCCACTAACAGTATATTTTTTTTTCCTTGCTAGTGGAAAAAAACAAAAACCAGAGAGATTAATGGCTAACCTCATCCCATATGGAACAAACCAGTCATTTTAACTAGAAAATGAAAATAATCCGTGCTCTGTATCTGCCTTGGTTGGCCCAGGGAAGAGAATGGTGCTTACCTTGGACACAAAACATTCTGCTATGGCCACGGGATCGTTTTCACAGTTTTCCAAATCTTGTAGAAGTTCACTAATAAAAAAATAAAGCCAGGAAGTTTTAGATTGCAGGTTACTGGTTGAAGACATTTTATATAACCTGAAAGTTTTAGTACTCTTATCACATTTACAAGGAATCATACAATTGGATAACTGAGGAACTACCGTCATTGTATCCAAGGCTTAGGGGACTTGCTCTAGGTCATGCTGGTATCATTTTTGTAGTTTTCCAAATCATGCAGAATTCCACTGATAATGCTCACAAACATTCACTCATCAAACAGTTGCCTGGGTATCAGCACAGAGCCAGGCATCAAAACTCATCAAATTATGAGCAATCAATGGTCCATGACCTCGTGCTTCTTGCAATCCATTGGGAATGCCAAGCATTCAATGAAAAACCATAGTGACAACTACAAAATTATAAACAGAGACACTGCTTTGAAGAAAGATATGCTAGGGGAGAAAACATCTTTCCTCAGATGTAAATCCACATGAATTAATTCTCAAACTGTGTGCCAAAAGCATAAATCTTATCTCCTTGTGTCCAAACATAAGACTTTCCCTTGTTGCATCTCTTTCTTGGTGGCCTCCCCTGGAGCCCTGTGCCCTTCTGCTCTGTCCTGCACAAGGTGCTCTCCAGGACTGTTGGGCACTCTCTCTCTTTTTTTTTTTTTTTTGACAGGCAGAGTGGACAGTGAGAGAGAGAGACAGAGAGAAAGGTCTTCCTTTTGCCGTTGGTTCACCCTCCAATGGCCGCTGCAGCCGGTGCGCTGTGGCCGGCGCACTGCACCGATCCAATGGCAGGAGCCAGGTACTTATCCTGGTCTCCCATGGGGTGCAGGGCCCAAGCACTTGGGCTCATCCTCCACTGCACTCCCTGGCCACAGCAGAGAGCTGGCCTGGAAGAGGGGCAACCGGGACAGAATCTGGCGCCCTGACCGGGACTAGAACCTGGTGTGCTGGCGCCGCAAGGCAGAGGATTAGCCTATTGAGCCGCGGCGCCGGCTTGGGCACTCTCTCAACATGGTCTTGACCATGGCCTTTGCCTCTGCTGTGTTAAGTGCCCTTGCTTCCCAGGTACCATTTTCGGTATATGGAGATGAAAACATCTGGTAGTTTTCTGAATAAGGGTAATGGGAGGTATGTTTTGAGACTCTTGCTGTTTAAAATGTTCTCTCTCTTCATACGTAGCTGATAATGCCAGTGGATATCGGTTTCTTCCTTGGAAATCACTGAGTATTCAGGCACTATCCGTCACCTTCTATATTCCAGAACTGCTACCGAGTATCCACTATCCTTTAGATCCTTCCATTGCATTCCATGTGGCTCTTTTCATTTTTTGTTTTCTTTGTTTGTTTTTAATTCAGAAGGCTTTTAGAACTTTATCTGCTAGTGTAATTCTGAAATTCTGTGATGATAGGCTTTAAGGGCTTCTTTTGGCCTCTTTTGAGACAATCTGAAAGTATGGGAGTTGATCTTTTTTATATGTTTTTTTTTTTTAAATTTTTTTTGACAGGCAGAGTGGACAGTGAGAGAGAGAGACAGAGAGAAAGGTCTTCCTTTTGCCGTTGGTTCACCCTTCAGTGGCCACCACGGCTGGCGCGCTGAGGCCAGTGCACCACGCTGATCCGAAGGCAGGAGCCAGGTGCTTCTCCTGGTCTCCCATGGGGTGCAGGGCCCAAGCACTTGGGCCATCCTCCACTGCGCTCCCTGGCCACAGCAGAGAGCTGGCCTGGAAGAGGGGCAACCGGGACAGAATCCGGCGCCCCGACCGGGATTAGAACCCGGTGTGCCGGCGCCGCAAGGTGGAGGATTAGCCTATTGAGCCGCGGCGCTGGCCTGGGAGTTGATCTTAAACAGTGGTTCTCCAGTGTGGTCCACTGACCCCTGGGGTCTCTGAGACCCTTTAGGAGGTCCCCAAGATCACTATTTCATAAAAGTACAGAGGTGCTATTGAATTTTGGGGGGGTCTAGGTCTCTGAACACACATCCACCTTCTGAGCGGGACAGAACTGTGTGCAGTCTCCCTCCAGTTCCTTCTCAGGATGTAACACAAAGACTCCTTGACGATACTTAACTCCTCCTGCTCCTTGTGCTCGTCCTAAGTTTCAATTTCATCTCCAAAGTGGATCTGCTGTAGGTCGAGGTGTCTGGAAGGTTCTCTGAGGAGGTGACACTGTGTGCAGGGAGACTTGGAAGAAGAAGCCATTTAAGAAATGGGATTGCAAGTCCCCCACAGAAGAAGCTGGGTATGTTCTTTTTGAAAGCAGAGAAAGGAGGTCATTGTGGCTGGCGTGAATGCCACAGAGAAAGTGGGGCTATTGGAAGACAATGACCTATAAAAATACGGCAAAGGACCAGCATTGTCACACAGCAGGTTAAGCCATCACTTTTGATGCCAACATCCCATATGTGCGCCAATTCGAGCCCTGGCTGCTCTGTACTCTCGGTGAGCAGTGCGAGCTCCCCTGGAGAGATCTGGTGTGTGGACAGGCAGAGTGGACAGTGAGAGAGAGAGAGAGACAAAGGTCTTCCTTTACCATTGGTTCACCCTCCAATGGTCGCTGCAGCCGGTGCACCGCACTGATCCGAAGCCAGGAGCCAGGTGCTTCCTCCTGGTCTCCCATGCGGGTGCAGGGCCCAAGCACTTGGGCCATCCTCCACTGCCCTCCCGGGCCATAGCAGAGAGCTGGACAGGAAGAGGAGTGACCGGGACAGAATCTGGTGCCCCGACTGGGACTAGAACCGGGTGTACCGGTGCTGCAGGCGGAGGATTAGCCTAGTGAGCCGTGGCGCCGGCCGCTGCTCTGCTTCTGACCCAGCTCCCTGTGATGTCCCTTGGAAGGCAGCAGATGGTCCAAGGTCTTGGGCCCCCGCCTCCTTCATGGGAGACCCAGACGGAGTCTCGGCTCCTGGCTGCTGCTTGGCCCACTCCTGGCCATTGTGCCCATTTGGGGAGGGAACCAGCAGATGGTAGATCTCTTTCTGTCTCTCTCTGTCACTCTGCCTTTCAAACAAGTAAATAATCTTTTTCCAAAAAAAGGCGAGAATGATGGGAGCCAGGCAGGCCTGCAGTGTGGCAGACCAGCCACGGAAGATACTGCACACGAGCAGCCCAGGACTTCCACGACCGGGGAAGGTGTGAGCATGGATTGGGTCACCGTGATCATAAATTACAGTAATCATGCCTTCAGGATGCGAGCATTTTCTCTTTTTCCCTGAGTGATTTTTCTAAATATTTCCTTCTTTTTGAGGAAGCCTAGGATAAAGAAAATAAGCTTTGCTACTTGAGCTTAGATCTCAATTGGAGGAGGCTCTGTCCCCTTTTACAGAATCCATTACATGTGAACTTGAAGGCAGGAATTGTATTACAGCCTTGCAGGCCCTCTTGCTCTATGTTGAATGAGACTCAGGAATGGGCTGGTCCCCTTCCCGTCTGCAGTGGGCTCTGAGCAGCACTTCCTTTTCCCACTGCCTAACCAGGTCAGCCAGCATTTTCACTTATTGCCTCCATGGACTGCTGTGTGTGTGGGAACAGAAAATGTTCCACCAATTTCATCGACACATTAGCACCAGCCTTAAAGTCCAGCTTTGAAAAAATGCTGTGGGTAGAGCTATGTCTGCATCACACAGCAGTTAGACGCATTTTGGTGGTATGAAAATGTGCTGGAAAAGAAAACTGTCTCACCTGCTCGTGCCTTATTGCACTGTGCGTCATAGGATTCACTTCCTAAATTACACGCCAAGAGGAAAGCAAGCAAGGGCCAACTAACTTTGTTTGTTTGTTTGAAGAAATCCGGAACTTGCTCAGGTTTTATTCACCTCCTCAAACAAAATTAATTGCACATTTGTCCGAGTTCTCAGAGTGTCCGTCTGTTTCCTGGTTACATGACTTACTGCCTCAGCTACGCATGGTGTCATTCATCTCATGCCCTTGGACCTAGCTCAGGGATCTGTATACTGAGTAGAGAGAGAGTTGGAGGGAAAAGGACATTTTCACTCTGATCTTCTGAGGCAGGGGGTGAGCTTGTGTGATTTTCATCTGCTAAGAAGCCACTTAAAGACAGAAATTCAAAATGGAGGAATGCTCCTAATTTCTTCACTCTTCATTCTTAAAGAAATACTCAGACTGGAGTTTAGATAGTTTTTCCTCTTCCAAGAGAAGGAGACCATATTTTAAGAAGTTGGAATTTCTTCTTTGGTTGGCAGGAAAAGAAGGCTTATGATGGGTGTGTGTGTGTGTGTTTGTGTGTGTGTTTGTGTGTGTGTGTGCTTAAACTGGGGAAAGTGGTTTCTTTGACCAACCCAGTTTCTCAACCATGTGGGGATTTATTCCAGACACCAAACCAGTGTCTTAAATTTCTAGGCTATCACAGGGATTTTGAGAAAGAAAAAAAGAGATTTGGCTACCAAAGGGAAAACCAAAACCAAGCCTCAACTGTATTCTAAAACAATTCATGATGGAAGATTTCATGAAATAATAATTTAAATCTAGTCATAAACCAAGGCAAACAAAGACGGTACAAGGAAAGAAATTATATACTACTGTCATTAATGGGCATGCATAAAAAAGAGTTCTTTAAAAATATAAACAAATCAAACTCATCAGTGTATAAATATACAAACCATGTGACCAGGTAGAGTTTATTCTAGCAATGTTAATATATGATTCAAATTAGAATTCCTGTTAATATAATTAATCATATCATGAATGGAAGGAATAAAATCATGTTGCTAATTATTTACAGGTATATTAAGCACTTAATATAATTCAATGTTCATAATTTCCACAATAAAATCTTAACAAAAATGGGAATATTTTTAATTGAAGTCTCACAGCAAACATCACACTTAATGGTAAAACATTCCTGCTAATGTGAAAAAGAAGATAAATAACATTTTATTGGAAGACTGACCAAAAGCAATAACACAAAGACATAAAGGGTAGGAGAATCTTCTTAAGAAAAAAATTCTCATTTTCAGATAACATCATTGTCTACAAATAAATCCAAGAAACACTGTAAACTATTATTAGAACCAATGGGAAGGTTTAGATAGTTCTTACAGTATCAATATATAAAAATCAAATTAATCCTACATAAGAATAGTACCTAATTTTAAAAATTAGAAATATGTCCTGATCAAAAAGACATTGAAAGCTATAAGTTATCTAGGAATAAATGTCCAAAAGGGACATGGATGAATATGATGGAGAAATTGTGAGACTCTATTAAAGGACATTTAAAAAGACTTGAAGAGATACATGGTCATGATAGGGATGACTCAGCACAAAACATTAGTTCTGACAAAATTAGCATATAAATTTAATGCAATTCTCATAAAAATCCCAATATCATGCTTCAAGGAACCTCATAAATCACTTGACAATTCAGAGCCAAGAAAAACTAAACCAGTGTCAATGAAGAGCAATGTGGGCTTACTAGACAATGTGGTATGGGACAAGGATGGACAAAGAGGCCAATGAAAGAGAATAGGGAGCCCAGAAATAGCCCAACACAGCCATACAGACATGGTAGGGCACACAGCTGAATGCCTGGACTGTGGACATGGAGAGGCCGAATGATGCATTCAAAGGGAAGATGCACCTAAAGCTTTATGGTCCCTGGCACGAAGGAAGTGCTAAGTACCAGCACCTTCAACGTGCATCCAGACCACAAAGGGCCCAGGCCTGACCCCCACCCCCAGCATCTGGCGCTCTTGCCTCTTTCCAGTGTACAGGGCCATGAGTGGGCTCTGCAAGGTGGAAGCCACAGAGGAGCTCCCAGGATTTTTATCTCCAATGAGTGCTAAATGGGAGTCTGTGCAACATCGGGGCATTACTGATGAACATGTAGGTTCAGGAGTCTCTGAGACAGTTTTGAATGCCCTTTCTCTACTTTGTTTCTATTTTTTACCTAAATTTATTCAACCTCCTGCTGTACATTACAGACACCCAAGGACATTTCGAAAAATCTTGATGCTCTGACCCCACACCAGATCAACTAATCAGAATTTCTGGAGGTAGGATCCAGCTACCCTAGAAAAAAAGCTTCACAGATGATTTCGGCATGTGGCTCAGTTGAGAACCATGACTCAGAACACACATTCTGGTTTTAGAAGTCTACGGAGACAAATGAAAGAGAAATCTGGTCCAAGGCTGGTATTTCTCCCATCCTAGGCTCTCCGAATTAACAGATGAGTTGATTCAACCCCATGAATATGTCTCCCCAATGCCATGCTTGCACTGGTTGCTAGGAATTTAAAAATGGCAAGAGATTTGGCTCCTGTCCCCAAGCAGCTGAGACTCATCCATGTTAATATGCAAATGAGGCTTAGCTTGCATTAGAGTTGAGTGGCAACATGACAGGGAAGTGTGCAATCTGACAGTGGAATTTCACTATGACAAAATCACCGTCATCTGCTGGTGGGGACCTGGCACTTGATATTATCAGCTCATGGAAGCCCCACTGCAACCAGAGGAAGGGTTTCCTATTCTTATTCATTCATTCAACAAATGTTTGAATGCGTCCTGTGAACCAGACACTGCTGTAGACATCTGGGCAGTAACAAACTGGTCCCTGTCTTTGTGGAGGTTCTGCAAGTGGTGTGGGGGAGGAAAGGAGCAACAGGTGTAATATAGAACTCCACCACATAGTCCAATGGACGCTGAGGAGGGTGGTGAAAACAAGAAAAAGTAGAGGAGGCAAGGCATGTGAGTGGACAGTGGTTAACCCTCACTGGGAAAGTGAGATCTGAGCAGAACTGCAGGGAGAGTTAGTGATCACCTTTGGTTTAAAGACTCCCTGTGGACACACATGGGGCTTGGCTGGGTACAAGACCACATAGGTCCAACACCCAGGATCTGTGCTCTGAACCCGCCTACTGACATCGTCCAGGAAGTGTGGCAGTAACATAGTGAGACTTGTGTAGTTGCTCCCAATCCCTTCAACTCCATGTCTTAACTAGTGCAGTCTTCTAGCCTAGTGCCTGCTACAGAGAAAGTTCTTAATACAGATCAGAATTAACTTACGTCAAATAATTAAATTGAATTAATACGTGTTCTGACTTAAAGGATTTATTTTATTTATTTATTTTTTATTTTCTGAGACTCAGGCCTCAGCCACTGCCTTTTTTTAAACAGAAAGCTTTTATTTAATAAATATAAATTTCATATGTATAGCTTTAGGAATATAGCAGTTCTTCCCCCCAATACCCGTCCTCCCACCCCCACTCCTGTCCCACCTCCTACTCCTTCTCCCATCCCATTCTTCGTTAAGATACATTTTTAATTATCTTTATATACAGAAGACTAACTCTATACTAAGTAAAGATTTCAATAGTTTTCACCCACACAGACACACAAAGTATAAAGTACTGTTTGAAGACAAGTTTACTTTTAATTCCCATAGTACAACTGGAACCCACAAACTCTGTCAGTATTTACACAGGGCCATAAGCAAAGTGGAAGTTCTCTCCTCCCTTCAGAGAAAGCACCTTCTTCTTTGATGGCTCCTTCTTTCCACTGGGGTCTCACTCACAGAGGTCCTTCATGTAGATCATTTTTTGCCACAGTGTCTTGGCTTTCCATGCCTGAAATACTCTCATGGGCTTTTTAACCAGAACCAAATGCCTTAAGGGCTGATTCTGAGGCCAGAGTGCTGTATAGGGCATTTGTCATGCTATGAGTCTGCTGTGTGGCCTGCTTTTAAATGATTTATTGTGTACTGTGTCCAGCCCACTGCCTAGGCAGAAGAAAATGTACAGAAAATCCAGCCTAGATGAGGATGCTAGAGACTAGGCCAGCACACATTTCTTATTCATGTCATTGGTAGATGTCACTGCCCCTCAAGGCACTCAGGTGTCTTCTCTGAGCCAGAAGGATGGAGAGGGACGGAATACCAAAGAAAGGTGAGACTCATAGGAAACAAGGATGCTTCAGGAAGGAAGCGTCAGGGCATGATGGTCCACAAAAGGGACAAAGAGACATTGGGGATGACTGGTCAAGGTTTCTTTGGCCGCATCAGAGAGAAATACATGATGCTGCTATGTGAGCACAGTCATTTGAAAATGCACTCACCTGTTGAAGTGGTAGATATCCTGTATGTTTCCAAAAAGGGCTGATCTGTCTTCAGTCCCCAGGGGAAGTTTGGCTTGGTCCCTGATGCAGTCAAGGTAGTCCTGTGGAATCAATGACAGGGATGTCTTACACATGCCAGGCCTTACCGAGTAGTCTTTAATTATGCAAGATTAACCTTGCCTGTGTATTTCAAGTGACTACGACACCAACGTGCCCCTTAACTCAGACTGTGCTTGTTTCTTGCTAATGATGATATGACCTATTTGTAGAATAAGGGGCGTGCAGAGCAAGGAGAGTGTAGCATTTACTAATGTACCTACCTGTAAAACTACTAAAGTTTCTCTCCATGGATAAAATAGAAAATAATGACCATAGTTACCATTGATGTCAGAATTTTGGCATAACAGCATTTGCTGTTTCCTTGACTGAAATATATGAAGATATTCCAAAATGTATACAGGACACTGGAAATCAAAACTCTGAAATGTCACAGAATTATTTTCAACATTCTCTCTACATCAGAAAACTGTCAGTTTTTGAAGTATAGAACTAAATTCTATCTCAAATATCAATTTATTTTTCAAAAGCTAAAAGAAATTTAAGCACATTTCACTTGTGCTAACACAGCCATGGAAAACTCAGAAGTGATTTTACAGGTTTTAACATAGAAGCAGCTCCCAAACAGACCCAGAGTCGGTTCAGATCCCTAGTGGGTTAAACTGAGGTGGCCAAGCAGCGATCTGGACTGCTGAGAAAGGGGAAAACTGCTTCCCGCCCCTTGTGTGCTGAAGGGTTCATAACTGAGTGTTCCCCCTTCCCCAGCATTGCTGGAAAAGGAACTCTGTAGGAGGCAAGAACACAATAAAGAAAAAAGTAAAAACAGCTGAAATAACGTAAAATAAAAAATAAACACAATCCCCCGCCAGGGGCTGAACAATGCAGTATGGCTCCCTACCAACAGCAACATGTGATGTGCAGCCCTTAAGGAGGCAACCCTGTGAAAAGTCAACCAGACCATGCAAATCCCTGCGCCCTAACTGCATTCCAGCCTCCCACGGCAAACACAGCAGGTGCGAGGAGAGAAAGGAGAACCTGAAACTTAACCATCAAGTCATTGTTTCTTACACCTTTTCCTTTTGAAAGGCAGAGAGACCAAGACAGAGACACAGACGGAGATCTGTTGGTTCACACTGCAAATGCCTGCAATAGCCGGGAGCCGGGTCAGGCCAAAGCCAGGGGCCCGGAACTTGACCTGCGTCTCCCACATGGATGGCAGGGACCCAGCTACTTGATCCATCACCTGCAGCCTCCCAGAGCGTGTGTTAGCAAGGAGGGCGGAACTTGAACCCATGCACTTGACAGGGGATGTGGGCATTCCCGGCGGCATCTTGAACACTGCCCTAAATGCCCGCCCCCTTGCAGCTTTTTAATCATCCACATGCGGTCTCTTATGTTCTTTGTCTCTCCAATGAAAGACAGGGCTTCATCGCTAACTTTCTAAAGTAGCACATTCCACAGCTTGCATCAAGTAAGCTTTCATTCTTTCTTTTATACTAAATTCGCTATCAAGTATGAACCAATAATCATAAGCTTTTCCTTTAAACAAGCTTTGTGGTAAGAATTTTTCTTTTGAAGAAACGAGATTGATCAGGTTTAAGTGAAACTGGCATTAAAATTTCACATCGGCAAGACCTACCCTCTTTACAGTTATGAATGGAATGGAATAATAAGCACCTGCATGAGAGAGAGAGAGTAAATACCCACATAAGAAAATCTAAACAAGGCTGGAAAAATTAGCACTTGATGAACAACATGTAAAACCTATACTTCTTAAGAAAAAAAGTAATGTTTTCAATATCTCCATTAAATTGTGTAGGCAGAAAAGCATGGATTAATACTTAACTTGCATTGATTAAATGCTTATATTTGATAGTAGTTTAATATTAAACCAGACATTACATTGCATGTAAAACAGAGGATAAAACAGGAGGATTTGGCAGGGCTGTACCCACACTGAAGGGGCAGGATGAGAAGTGGGGTCAAGACGAAGCTGGCACAAACCATTCACCTGTCCGGTTCCAGAGCTCTGCTCTGGGGCCTAAAGAGAGGATGAACGATCCGTTTTCTCACTTCAAGTGTGAAGCTTGCTCACTTGCAGAAACCAGATCCAAAATTCTTCATGTGCGGGAAAGATCTGAGTTAAGGGGCTTGAAGAATTTCATCTGGGGTTAGAGACAAAGAGCCATGGCCTGCTTCCAGCCGATGATGGCTCCACTCCAACGGGAAGAGTTTCACAGCGCTCCAAGTCCATGGTAGAGAAACTAGATTTTAAAAGCTGCTTGTTTTCTAAAATTATTGAGAAAATAGGTCGTTAGGAGTCCAAATTCATGTAGGCCACTCTAGAAAGCACATCAAAGTCATATGGCCACAACTTGTTCCCTCCGCTGATCACAATTAAGTCTTTTAAATATGATACTTTAACCCTAAACCAGTTCCTGAGAACCACTGTAGCATGCACCACGCTGGCAGCTCTAATCATCTGAAGCCAAAATGAGAGACTTGAAGCTCCGTGATAATAACAGTTCATTCTGTGCTCAAAATGACAGAGTAAGTAGCCCAGTAAAATGGATTAGGGCCTGTCATGCCGCTTATCAATTTTATTGGCTGGATGTCAGCACCTATGGCTATCCTACTGTTAATGATGAAGGGTCAACTTAAAACTTTTGCACTGAAAATAATGATTTTCTGGCAGGATCAAAGAATTCACTATACTGTGGGGAGGGAGGAAGGCAAAGAGCCTCAGAATACATTAAAAAAGAGTATTTCATTCTTCAAATTATTTTCTATTTTGTAACTTCAAATTTCCCCTAGCATATTTCTTTTCTTTTCTTTTCTTTTAAAGATTCATTTTTTATTTATTTGAAAGACAGAGTCACTGAAAGAGGTAGGGACAGAGAGAGAGAGGTCTTCCATCTGATGGTTCACTCCCCACATGGCCACAACTGCTGGAGCTGTGCTGATCCGAAGCCAGGAGCCAGGAGCTTCCTCTGGGTCTCCCACGTGGGTGCAGGGGCCCAAGGACTTTGGCCATCTTCTACTGCTTTCCCAGGCTATGGCAGAGAGCTGGATCGGAAGTGGAGCAGCCAGGTCTCAAACTGGCACCCATATGGGATGCCAGCGCTACAGGCTAGGCCCCTAACATTTATTTTCTGATCAGATTATGTTCTTAAGATTTCCACTGTTATAAAATCTGTACACGAGTAGCCTCCTCTCATGAACTTTCTCATTCTTTGTAACTGTTATTGAAAATGCCCATGTAGGGCTTTTCGTGGTGCCATCCAAAAGTGTGGCAGTCAGGCGCCTGTTTGCAAACTGTGGCTGATCTACAATGAGGCAAGTGCAAAACTGAAGGTAAGCACACAGAAACTTCGATAGGAGTTTGACAGAATAGTTGAGTGCCTGTTGAATCGAATGGAATTAGTGCTTCAATTGTGTTTATTATTCTTTTTTGGTTAGTATCTACAGTAATCCTTTTTCCAACTGTATGTTACAGAAGCATCAGCGTGTTGCAGATTGGAAAGCACACGCACACCTGCACACACATGCCTAACCACAAGTCGCTGGAGAAGCCGTGGTAGATGACCACGCAGCAAGGACACTACAGGGAGAACCTTAGAACTTGCTTTCTTTAGAATGCTCCTGGCTCTGTTTGTTGTAGTAATCTGGGGAATGAACCAGAGGATGGAGGACACATCTCTCTCTCTCTCTTTCTCTCTTTCTCTCTCTCTCTCTCTCTCTCTCTGCCTCTCTGTAGCCCTGCCTTTCAAATAAATAAATCTTAAAAAAAGAAAATGACTTATTTTCAGTTATAGCGTGTATATTAGTTTTTATTCTTTCTATTCTTTCCCTGACTTGTAGATGCACAACAGGAAGAGTTGTCTTCCTAAATACTCTTGCTCATATTTCAAAATTCTGCCTGTGGTTTTAGGGTTCATTCTTTTTGGTCTTGCTTCATTTTTGACATTTCCCTTAATAGACTCTTCAGAGTGTTTTTTGTCTTTGTTTTGGAGGAGTACATTTTCCTCTTTTCTCTATTCCTCCACCTTTTTCTACAAAGTAGTGATCTGCTTAGCCAAAAGTTTGCTTCCCAAATTTCATGTACATTGACCCCTCAGTATCCACAGGGGACTGGTACCAGGACCCACATGGGTACCAAAGTCTGTAGGTGCCCAAGTCCCTTATATTAAGTGGGATGGTATTTGCATAGGATCTACGCACATCCTCCCATGTCCTCTAAGTCACTGACAGATTACTTATACCCAAGACAACATAAATGCTGTGTAAATAATTGTTAAGTTGCATTGTTTAGGGAATAATGATGGGGGAAAAGCCTGTTACATGTTCAGTACAGTCATATGATTTTTTTCCCAAATATTTTTGATCTGCCATTGGTTGAGCCTGTGGGTATATAACCAGAGCTATGGAAGGTATTCATTACGTTAGGATGCCACTGAACCTAGGACAACTTACATATAGAAATTACAGTTGAAAAGCACATTCACATACAGCTGGCACTGTAGCACAGTATGCTAAGCCTCTACCTGTGGTGCTGGCATCCCATATGGATGCCGGTTCAAGTCCCGGCTGCTCCACTTCCAATCCTGCTCCAAGCAAATGGCCTGGGAAAGCAGCAGAGGATGGCGTAAGTGCTTGTGCCCCTGCACCCATGTGGGAGACCCAGAAGAAGCTCCTGGCTCTGGATCAGCCCAGCTCTGGCCATCGCAGCCACTTGGGAAGTGAACCAGCAGATGGAAGACCTCTCTGTCTCTCTACCTCTACCTCTCAAATAAAAGAAAAGCATGTTCATAGTCATCCATACAAACCACTCTCTCACCACCACCTTTTTAATTTTGAGGATATAAGGAAGTGTGCCAACTTCTGCCTTATATGCTAGGAATTTTAAAAAATGGAATAAAACATGATCTCTTCCCACCAAAGAGCTCCCTGTCTAGTTGAAGACAAGTGTCGACAAAGATGTGCAATTTGGTACTATGACGGCACTGCAGGAAAAACTTCAGTGTGGGAGGGGAAGCAGGCAAGG